CCCTTCGCCTTTCCTTTCTTTTATATTAATATCTCTTTGTCTACATTTCCCCCCACTTCCGGTCTGCGCGAATTTCTACCGTTCCCTCGATCTTTCCTCGTTCCTCGACTCTTCCCCGTTGAAACCTTGAGCATCCAAAAGGTGTGTTTTCGCTCTCCTTGCATTCACCGCGATTTCCCTATGACGCATCTCGCCTGTTCCGCCTTTGGCTGCCCAACCCTGCGCTGTAGCTTGGGTTTCGTGAACACGGACAATTTCCCCATGCTGGTCTCGTCTTTTTCAACTGTGACTGGTTTCCCTCACCGAGGATCGCGCATAAGATACAAGATCAGCTTACGGCCAAGCGCTTGTGGAAATAAATCGGAATCGCAACTATCGTGATATTTCGTGCTGACCATCGACTTTTTTTTTCATCGTACTAGGAACCTGAACAGGGACCTATCTTTCCGCCAACAAACGATCACGCGTTCCGCCTTTAGCCGACCACAACATTATTCTCTGGAGCTTGGCTCTTTTTTGGCAGAAAAGCCCGTCGTTCGATACTCTTACGCAACCTTGCATTCCACTGCAGAAAAGTGGAGAATTTACCCCGTTCCATTCTTCGCTGAGGGACTGTCCAAGACAGCGCGTGTAATACCGGTTCACCCAGGGTGAGTTTCTGGCTTCCCAGCTCGCGGAATTTTTGCATTCGAGCACCTGCCGTACAGAAAATTCGTTCTAACTATATCCTGACTTGGCAGAACTTGCTATTTCGTGACCAGAATCTCCATCCCGGCCGCCACACCCTCCATATCAACCAGTCCTTTACGCGTAAGGACTTCGAATCCAACAGCCATCGAACATCGTGGGAATACTGGTCGGAAGGTCTGCCGAAGGACGTCTTCGAAAGCAGTCCTTGACCGCAGTCCCTTGGCTACTTGCTGGGTCGGGTCATGGACTTCCCAACCATCCTGAACAGGAAAAACTCCGCCGCCGCCGCCGCCGCCGCCGTCGAAGCGCAGTTACAACAACAACAGTACTTCCAACAGAGCACACAGTTACACACCGGAGCTTCGCCCACCATGAAGAGCGAATCAGGTGGCTCGGACAATCCTGTCAACGCCTACCCTCCTCACGGTCCCCCGCCCATACAGATGGATGCCGGACTTGCCGATTCCTTCTATTATGCACAGCCCACGGGCTCAGCCTCTCGAAACATGGCCTATGCTCCTCCAGGATACGCTGGCGATCCCCAGATGCAGCAGGAACCCGTCCCACAAGGAAGAGCAGGAATTGAACCGCCACCAAAGACTTTCCACTGCTCAACCTGCAACAAGGGCTTCGCACGGCGCAGCGATCTTGCTCGACATGGTATGTATTCTCCAGAAATCTAGGAGATGCGGTTGCTGACAATTTATTAGAGCGTATTCATACCGGAGTCCGACCCCACGCTTGCGAGTGGCCAGGGTGTGGAAAACAGTTCATTCAACGCTCGGCTTTGACAGTACACTCCCGTGTACACACTGGAGAGAAGCCTCATATGTGTGAGAGATGTGGCAAGGTGTGTATCTTTTCCTCTTTCTTTTCCGGCTAGATCTCTAACATCATTTCAGCCTTTTAGCGACTCATCTTCACTGGCCAGACATCGCCGTATTCACTCCGGAAAGCGACCCTACAAATGCCCGTACGCCAACTGCCAGAAGACCTTCACGCGCCGTACGACATTGACACGGCACCAAAATCACCACACTGGGACCATCGAAGAAGCTGCGGCTGAAACCGAGGCCCAGTTGCGGCAAAACAAGGATCATGGACGTCCTGGCGAAGGAATGTTTTCCGAGCACGCTTCCATCCATTCTACACCGTCACCCGCGCAACACCCATCCATGTCACCTGGCGGTGAGCTTCCGCCGCTGAACATGCACCGCTCTGCTGGCGACTACTACATGGGCACCGGTCCTATCCCGCCTCATGTGCGTGGGGATTTCCCCCAAGGCAGCCCTCGGGCTTCCCCGACGGCGACCTCCCCCTCGCTGTCGAGCTACGGTAGTGCGCCCCACGCCCGGCCATCTATGACCTCGCATCCCTACGCTCCGCCCCAACCTCTTGAGCCCCCGGCCAACAGTGATCACCGCCCCAACAGCGTGAACGGCAGTCCGCACATGGCTAGTCTAGGATGGGCCTCGCCGTCTCATGGTAGCATGCCATCGCCTGGATCGGCCAACGACTTCACTTACCCTGAACCCACTGGCCCCTCGTACCCGACATCGATGCCGCCGCACATGTACTTCCCCAACTCTACCATTCGTCGACCCACCAGCACCGAGCCAGAGAACTACGAAATGAAGCCCCGAGGTGACCACTCATGGTCCACTGCTGTCTGATGCGATTCACAATACAAGTGTCTCGCAACAGCTTGAATTTTTCCATTGTTTCCTTTGTTTAATAACTTCATTGCATAAGCCCCTTGATTCCCACGAGAGAATACATCTATATGCCTCTCGATTGATTTCTTATTTCCTTTGTTTTTCATGCATTTTCTTATCTGTTTGTACTATATTGATGGGAAACCAGTGCACTGGAAGGAGTCGGACGGTCTGATCGTGTTTCCAAATCTGCGATTTATTGTTTTGTTTCAAGATGTTGTCTCTGCACCTTTTCTTTTGTTAAATGCTTGCGGATGACATTACCGAGACACGATCAGATGAGGAACTGCATCCATAGGAATAGATAGATGGTTGGACTAGGAATTGTCTTTGGTATGGATGGGTGCGGGAATGGATCTGGGTTTGTTTTAGGGAGACTCCTGATGCTGGTGTCTGGTTGGGATTTAGTTTTAGTTATGCTTCTTTCTATTGTTTCCTTTTCTTATTGTCTCATACATCTAATTATTGTATTGCTTTTTTTTTGGTTCTACTTTCTTAACTATCGTTTACGGTGTGCTTTGCTTTTCTTGCTGCTTGCTCCTCGACGAATACCATCTTTCAAATGAGGTCGTCGTTCACCGGCGTTGGTATTTTTGTATAATAGAACGATGATAGTAGACAGTCATTGAACTCGCATTTCGTCTTAGATCGCACGACCATTTCTCTCCGAGCTTGCAACCGCCACGCCACGCCAGTGGGTTAAGACGCTTCCTAATTATGTGATGACGAGGAGGAACTTGAATCAGATGGAGCTGTGCTCCACAACCTGGGCAATCTAAGACTAGTTTCGCCAGATGGAATGTGGATAGTTAAGACTATGCCCTGACGTAATACATAAAGGTGCCTAGCATTACCTTAGGACTTAGTATATTGGGCCTCACAATGTTTGGCAAATTATATACTTGGCCATAGTGAAGCTTCCTCGCCTGGCAGAGTGTACTTCCAGATCAAGGACTAGTTAAACATAAGCCCGAGGTTATGATGATCATCTTCTTCTTCTGTACATGAGGCGTGACAGGTGTGCCAATGAGAGCTCGTTTATTCCCGCCGGGATTGGAAGAAATGGCTGCGCCAAACTCTTGCTCTCAGCGCGAAAGGAGAGTCAAAACTCTCTGGGTAAACCCCTCTCGTGTCGCCCACTTTGCTCGACGAATCATCACATAGCGCGCTCAGACTAAATGCAAGACAACGCTTTGGCATTAGCGCAAGCACTCTTATGGGTGGCCACGATTCACCTCATCCTTTGCTTGTGTGAGGAGTCAGGCTCGCTACCATCCACTAATAATTAATATACTGATTTAATACTGGCGTGCATCGTGCGGGCTCTTTTGAAAGGCCCTCTTGTCCAACGCTAATCAGCGCCTTGGGAGTCAAATCATTCACTGTTATATACTAGGCATGTGACCAGTTATATTTGGTCAAAAGACAACATGGAGCGCAGAAAGCCGGCACGTAAAGTCTCATCCTATCACCTGTCCAAGGACTATTCTACTAACAACTGGAACCGGTGTCTTGACAGTCACGCCCGAAAGTTACACCAGAGCAATTATCTCGCTTTTTAAGGAGATTCTAGAGCACGTCTGTCTTTCCGGGCAATGATTACCTCGACATCAAAGAATGGATGATATAAGACCGTAGGATCTTCAAATCGGCGAAACTAGAAGATGCATCCCGTTTTGCCTCCACCTTTGCCTCCAAGTCCAAACGGCCTCACGATTTAGTTGTGGTATACAGCAGTGACATCAATATAGCCAAGAGCAACACGAAGACCTTCACACTGATACTTCTGTTCCGGCAGAAGGCGCGGGACAGATGGTTTTCATTCGGGGCTACATATCACCAGTGATCTTGTTATTTCAACCTTTGCAACATAAGAATGTTAATACGTATATCAGCATACCTAGGTATTGCACTATGACAACGGTTGTATACTAAGTACTATTAGAAAGGGCGAATGAGACGGGCCCGCGAGGCGTTGCACGTGCAAGCGCAAAGGCAAAATTATATGCAAGTGGAGGTAAAGCGATACGAGGGTTTAAAAAGAAACTGTAATCTATTCGCCCCGGAGGCTTACGCTATTTTTTGTCGCTTTATGATAACATGAAGCTCCGTTACGTATATGAATCCTGTAGGTCAGGTTCTAGCCGTCGGCCATAGGAGCCAAACACCCGAAGAAACTAAATGAAATAGCCCAAGACATCTCTCACGGGTAATAAGTGAATCATATGGATTAGATATAATCTAAATGGCTGGCCATCGGCTATGCCTAAGCCATCAAAGGAGCCAGAGCTACCCCAGCCCAGATCATCTGACAACAGGTCATATGTTGGAAGATGACCTGCTTGTGCAGCGATTTACCCTCACGTTCTGAGGATACATCAGCTGTGGCCAGCGGTATCTGACCCCTCGGAGGCGACCAAATTGCTTTTCGCAAAGTCACTGACCGATGCAGCATGGTGAGCATACGAGTTTCAGGCATTTCCCCTATATAGTCTAACATTACCTGGTATCAAAAAGAGCGTGAACGAACAAAGTAATTGGATGGCTTCTTTGAAACTGCTCGCAGTATCTGCGAGTCCTCAGCACATCCATGCCATGGATGCTTGCGATTTTGAGACAAGCCGCATTAACAAGGAGCTTTCTTTCGATCTAGTTTCCAAAACCTGTAAAGATCTGGGAACTGCGGATGGCAGATTATACATCGCCGACGCAGAGCGAGGAATCTCACGAATACAGGATAGACGGTGCAAGGAAGGGGAAGCCGATCTCAATAAGGCCCTGTGGATACGCAAAGCTCTCGGCAACTACATTTCGCGGTGAGTCCAATCCGAGCTGTGGTTTTGCTTGCGCAGGGCAAGCTTGGATAATGCAACACATTTCTTTTGGATAGCCTGGCCAGCAGAGAAAAGACTTTGGGAAAGAATGATAGAGACCCTGTGCGGACTGGACTGATTCTTTATGTACTTGGCAGCCTCCATGCAGCTTTAAATCAGCGGGAGGAGAGCTTCAGATATGACCGTAGAGTTTGGCACTACATGCGCGAGACGGTCGTTGAGAGGGACGTTTACACTGCAAACATCACCCATAAGATGGCAAACGCGGATATGAACTGTACTGTTCTAAGATCAGGAGACACTAATCTGTACAGCCAGCTTACCAAAGTCAATATTGGAGTCAAGGCATGGGCGGTCTTCCAGGTCTTCCACTTCGAGTTCAGTTGTATTCAAAGCCATTGTCATGTTTATTTCATGGTCGATATACTCCATGAGAACAAAAGGGCCCAAGCTAAGTGACATCACCCATCTAGTACATTTAGAAAACCGAGATAGAAGTATGGTTATGGATATAATGTATCGCTGCGACTTCGTTGCGATCTTGTTCTTTGGGGAATATTGTCGCTTCAAGCTTGGGGCACCAGAAGGTTGCAGAGTCGCCATCCTACAATTTCATGCGTATGGCAGGGTTTGGGGTCCATCGCGCCAACCGTGTTTTTCGCCGGCAGAAGATTAACGAGCTGTCATGAATCAACATCTATACATACATGTAGCTCTTAAAGGTATAGAAACTTGTATCAAAGGTGTCCTACTGACAATATTAGAGGAGAGTTAAGCGGTTATATCCGAAAAGACCCTAGAAAAGACCTTAAACAAGATGATAACACAGTGGGTTCTATGGTAGCGCTAGACTTTCTCTACAGCAACTCTTCTTTACATGTGCTTTACCATGAAATTGCTGATGGCTCGTATAGTGCTTTCTTCGGCGAAGATTCCTTCCACCCATTTAGCTGTGATGTCTTCACTTCCCATGTAACATAGTCAATTGCATGCTGGTCTCATTTTCTGGATGTTTTACAGTTCAAAACTATATGGTTGTAGTATGGGAAAGATGAAGACATAAGGTAGGATATTTCGTTCTAAGATCTGGTAGGATTGACTCATTCTGCTAGGAATGCTTTGAAGAACAATGCCGATGATAAAGAAGTCATTGTCCTATAGCGACTTACCGACTCACACATCACACACATCCTGGGAATCTAACCACTCAAAATCTCCCGCTAGATTGCGACCGAGTAAGGAGTTGGAATTTGTGTTTGATTGACACCGGTAAGTGGCATATAGTGAAGAATTCGGGCTGTTTATTCACTCTCTACTAGGACTATTTTTAGGCCTGCTGTCATCCACTAAAAGCTAATAGCTCGTGAGGTCATTAATGTGACTTAGATTCATCGTCTATTAATGATCTCAGATGACGAGAAGCTATAGAACGATCAATTCGAAACAATGATTTCACCAGTCGGCAAGTTTATCCAGCATCATATTGATCACATTGCTAATGTAAACCAACGGAAGCCAATAAAGCAAGATTTTGAATGATGGATGATGAATGATGTCTCACATAAAATCCAATTGAATCTCGACTTTACCGAGCCCCTCGTATTGGCCCTCGCATCCATGTGGCGTTAGGAGAATATTGACCATGGTTCGAGATGGAAATTCCGGGGTAGTCGCGAGTATATTTTGAGCATGAAACGTCACCACAAACGGTGTAGGTCATCTGGTCCTGTGTTTTCTCAAGAGTTGATGCTTTAGGAATTCGCTTGTCTTGGTATGCGATGTATATATAGCAACTCCACAAAACTCATTCTCGCAGCTTTACTGAATAACCTCTTTAACTAACCTACCACGCTAAATTCTCACGCAACCACGGCCTGAATATCTAGAAGATGCATATTTATCAAGCTTTTGTTCTTGTCCTCGCTCACCTCGCCCTGAGCGGTAAGTATTTGAAGCAACGCCTACATCAAAACCCAACCTACTAATAATGTCTTCCTCCAAAATAGAAGGCGCAGATTCTCCAGCAGGAGGATGTGGCAGTGCTCCAGCCTGTGTCCTCACTGAAACATGCACGACGGCAACTTTTGTCTCGCCCTCGACAACGACTATCACAACCTGTGTCCCAACACCCACCTGCGCGGGTGTCTACTGTAAGGATCGAGAGATGACATATAAAAACACAATTTATCCCATTCTAACTGAACTGATGCTAGCATCCTGTGAATTCGGCAACCCGAATAACCAATGCTGCTCGGGCTACTGCGCTGCTAACAAATGTCGATCGACGGATGATAATTGGCCATCTTGTAAAGAGGATAGTGGACCTTGCCTTGTCGACGAACACTGTTGTTATGGGAATGCTTGCATAAATGGCATATGTAGTCGGACTTGATGATACCGGGATCATGATATACAGAATGCCTACCGCAAATGTACTCGAAATCAACCAATTAGTTTGTATTGAATCAAGGCCAGAGAGTTTACTTTTGGGCTGCATGATCCTGTCGAGTGCGTGAATGCCTAACCGATGAATCAAACGCAATATATCCATGGATTTGTCTACAAAAGCATAAATACGTATGTACTCACAAAGCCAACAGTTGTTCAGCCCGTTCAGTAAATGCCTTCATAGCAGCTTTCCACAACTCCGGCCCAACACTAATCCTCGCAACACCCAGCGCCCGAATTTCCTTTACCCCAAGAAAGCCCTCCCTCAAATTCATCTTCACGTTAACCATACCTCCCAGGGCATCAACCAACCTCCGGACCTCCTCACTCGACACACCCCTCCCACTAGGCCCGCCCCAAACAAAAACCGTAGTAGCACCGGCGTCCAAAAACGCCCTCCCACGCTCAATGGCCTCTTCAATGGTCCCATTATCCGTCAGCAGCACGTCAGTCCTAGCATTGACCACAAAATCGGGAACCCCGGCGGCCTTTGCCGCCTGAACAACAGCCCCAACCCGCGCCGCAGCCTCATCTACCGACCGCAGCACGCCGGTGGCGTCCATATCTTCGATATTACAGCCCACAACGCCTAGCGCGATAACCTGGGAGATGGTATCTGCCAGTTCGGAGACATCACCGTACCCATCTTGTACATCGACGGTTAGTGGTTTGGCAGGGTTGGTAGCACGGACAGAGGCGGCGATGGCGGCTATCGCGGTCAGGTGTTGGATTTTTGTTAGGGCGTTGTCGTCAACACCGATCGTTGCAGCGATCGCATATGACCCTGTCGCGATGGCGGGCGCTGTTGGTAGTGAGGCGATTATAGAGGCTGTTGCGGCATCGTAGACGTTTGTTAGGATTAGGGGGTTGCCAGGTTGGTGGAGGGAGCGGAGGTGTTTGGCGATGTCGTTTTGGGTTGACATTTTTTTTCTTAAATTTTGTTTGGATATTTGGGCTATTTGGGCTATTTGGGATTTCTCTTTTATTCTATATACTTAACATGTTAACTTGAACAAAGACGTCTTGAGTCACTGAATACGAGCGCTGAAGGGTTTCGGAGCCGAGAACATCTGCAGGCTCCGATCTACGCAGATCGTGGCAGACAATGGTATATTATTTCCCCTTGTCTCAGACTGGACTTGGAGAATAAGCCGAATGGCGCAAGGGATCCACGGTATTTTCCCCTCTTCGGCTTATGAAGAATTACACAAATTGAGTAGACCATGCAGGTCATTACACTGCTTACGGGGGGATCAATGTAACTTCCATGTTCTTAGGCTTGCCACATCGGTGTGAGATTGTTGATTGGGGTCAAGATCGACTGGCTGGAATTGACTGGTTCGACACCCCAAATGGGGGCGAAACCGCAAAGGAACAGAAATAGAAAAAGAAAAAGAAAAGAAAAGGGCGTAATACAATAATATACCCCCCGGAGCCAGATGGCTTGCTCTCCATTGCTCCATTGGGATGCATGAATGGACCTTCCATGCAGCTGTGAAACCGAAGATCCAATAAGAGGGACTGAATTGCGTGAAGTGCGCGAACTGCGTGAATGAACTGTCCAGGTGGAATTTACCCTATACCCCGGAGATATCCTAGAGAAACCTCTCTGTTTCCAGGTGATTCATAATGGAAGCTCAATAAAAAAAAAAGCCAGAGACTAAAAAGTACTCAAAAGGGAGCCCGACAACGTGTGGTACGAGGAATTGGCGGCCTATCGAAAGGAGTAAAAGTCCGTAGTCCACTAGTCCGATGTAGGGCGAAACATTGGTAACACTGGGAACCTTCCGGGTTGGATATCCGGTGCATATGAACGAGGGGCAAAGCTGTTGCATTCCTTTGGTATCTGAGGTCAGGGTAGTCGGAGAGATGGATTGGAATGTATTCCCTCGTTTCAGATGTTCTTTTTATAATCCGGTCTTTTCTTAATACTCTACCGTTTAATATATCTCGAAGTCAAAACCCGACCACACCCGTAACTAGACTCGGGAAACGTTGGAGTTGTTTTCTCCTCACGGTATGGTAATGTATTTGTTTGAACAACGTCGGTTGTCGGCTGCGCTTAAGGTCCTTTTAATGTACATGTAAATTATAGGTATTAGGACTGGTACGGGGAACAAAGAAAAGAATCGTAACAAAAACTTGAAGTAAAATTTAATAGGACTTTTGACAAAGGCCCTGAGACAGAGAAAGGGTATTGACGTATTGAAGTCAGGAACTGAAGGTATAGGAATATAGAATACTATAGGATTATGAATCATATATAGAAAGTACTGTACTTTTAGGAGTCAATACATCAAAATTAATTTAAAAAAAAGAAAGAAAAAAACGTATCGGGAATCCCCTGTAATTTTACAAGGAATCGCCGTCAGCTCTCCCCACTCTACGCTTCGCCTTGCTCTCTTTCTGCCTTTCTCATTCTTCTCACTTCTCACTCATTTACATTTTACATTTTCCATTGCCTTCATATCCATATTCCTAATCCCGATCTTATGGCGTATGGTTTTACCTCACTCCCTGCAGTTGGCCGCCTGACCTGCAGCTCTCACGCTGCCATCCGACCCTGCTCACCTCGAATCCCTCACACTTCCTCCCTCCGACCTTGACCTCTCCCCCAACTCCCATAATGTCGACCGGTCTGAATATTCCGCAGACCGGACTGTCTCTCCACCTCGGAGACCAGTCCGGTGATCCTTCCGTCAAGCCAAATCAGATCATGCGGTTGAATTTGGTGCAGAGCACCCTCGATGATCTGATTGAGAGCCTACGAAAGGATCAACCGGCTCGAGTCCGGCTGGGAAAGCACCCATCACTTCACTATGGGGGCAAGACTCAAACGTTCCATGCCTACCCCGAAACACACCGATCCGAGATCTACCATACCTCCGCCGACAAAGAGACGCTGTATTTCACAGGGGTTCTAAGTCATAGCCTTGAGGTTGAAAAGGCCAAAAATGCTACGGCGGCCACCGATCAGGCACTGGCAGATTTGGAGGAAAAATTAAATGCTCATGAGAGAGGGAAGGAGTCGAAGAAAACTCACATAATCGCACATCCGGATGAGTTGAAGGCTCTGCGAGGCAGCAAGTCAGGCTACAAAGGTCCCACTACCAAAGTAGAACTTGAGAAAGACCGTTTCCTCAAGACTGCTGCCAATCGTTCTCTCACTGCAAGTCCTATCCTGGGTGCTCCCAAGTCTCCCTCTCTCGCAATGACCCCAACATCTGCTCCAATGATGCAAACCAAGGATCGTGTGAGGCTCGAGGCCCTCAAGATTCCCTTCATTCACCTCCTCGCCGTCCGCGCCGTATCGGCCAAGTTTCTTGCCCGCCAGACTCGCAGCACCGTCGAAGACTGCATCGCCCTCGGCGAGAAATTCGGCGTTGTGAACCGAATCAATCCCGAGAAATACAACCTCAAGGACAAAGTCTACAAGGATCTGGATTTGTTTGGCTTCAATTACACCGAGGAGGACCGAAAGGAAGCCATTGAGAATTCTATTTCTGCCTTCGATCGCATGCGCATCTCTCGATCCGATAAACTTTGGCAGACACTTCTTCCAAAGGCTGAACGAGGCAAGGGAAAGTGCCTGTCGCGTTTGAACCTTCGTACCGGCCCGCCCCAGAAACCCGCCGGCCCACTCGCCAAAGCCAGCGGGGAGGATTCGGGCAAGGACAATGAGACCGACCGCGCCACAAAGGGATCCACGCCTGCTACCAAGACTGCTTCGACCTCGCAAAAGGCTCGTGACAAGGACCCGAACAAGCGACCACCCACCAAAACCAAGAATACCAATAGCACCCTCACCGGACGGGTTACCAAGAAGACCGGTGGGAAGGCCCCAGTCAAAGTGGACAGCAAGATCAAGTCGGCGGAATTCGTCCACAGTTCGGACGAAGATGATGATACCGACATGCCTGATATCCCCCCTGCCGCTCCCGCTCCCGCGCCCACGCCTACACCTGCACCCAAGCGGCAACCGAAGGAACACAAGCGGACTCCATCCAATTCGAAACCCCCAGCACCGAAAATCAAGGCACCGGCCAAGGCTCGCACCGCCGAGACTGCTTCAGTCCCATCTGCTCCTGTTTCCAAGGCTAAACCCGAGGCATCGAAGCCTAAGCTTGAAACACCCAAGCTTGAACCATCCAAACCAGTCACCAAGGTTACAGCTTCCAAGCGTCCTCCCTCTCGACCCTCTACTTCGCCGCAGAAGCCGTCTCCACTCGGCCCCTCTCCTCCTGCCAATGTTTCCGATGCTACCGCTAGCAGCCGCAGCCGATCTGACAGCCATAACCAATCCTCCGGTTCATCCTCGTCCTCACCTCTCATCTCACAACTGGCCAAAACCACCAAGGTGGGCCGTGCAGCCCCCGTTGCTGGAAAAACCGTCAAAGCTACCCCCCAAGCCAACGGTACCACGAAGGCTACTCCCGCTACCCACAACCCATTGAAGCGCAAGGCTGAGTCCGATCAATTGTCTGTGCCTCATGCAGGACGTCCTACCGGAAACCTGGAAGCAAAGCGGCGCCGAGCGGTCAGTTCTTCTAGCGGTGGCAGCACTGGCAGTGCATCTCCACCAATGAGCTACGAGATTCTTCGACAGCAGCTGCGGGAGAAGTCTCAGAAATTCAAGAACTTTTACACAAAGTACCGCAACCTGCATGACTCCCTTGCAGCTCTCCCCAACCCGCCCCAGGTAGACCTCGACAAGCTTCAAAGGCAGCACACTCATCTGCAACGCATGAAGAAGGAAATCTGGGAGGAAGATCGACAGCTTCGTGATGGCCTTCATTCGTAATTTGATTTCGTTCATCTCTTTTATCCCCTTTGCATGGTGATCATGTCGCACTCGACAGAGTGCCAGCTTTACCAACAGGCCTGGCGTTTGTATGTTTATTATCATATTGTTCATCTATACCGTAGCAATTCATATTCTTATGACCCAATTTCCTTATCATGCTCTAGAGCACTTTACTTTTGGATAGCTAGGCTACCAATCAACATACACAAATAATAGTTGAGAACCACAATCCTCCAAAACAAAGGAGAACTCAACAAAACAATGAAATATCAATAACTCAATCTGATTTCAGTCTGTAGTCAATACGCAATGGGACCAGTTTCCGGTCGATCTTCACTTTTACCCCAGATCAACCAAAACGCCATCTGCCATCTGCTAGTCCTAATAAGGGATGGTGGGCCCCATCTCATTTGGCGGTGTAGCACGTGGCAGTATCACGGGATTGGTGAATCAAGATGCACGTGATTGAAGCTGCAGACGTCATTTGGTCGCTCAGTAAGCTATTCCTAGTTCAGTTTAGCCCCGAGGCCATTCGAACTTGCTCACTCGGAGGATCATACATAGCAGTTGTTACACCCACGGCCAGTTATTTCTTCCATGTGCTCAAGTGCCAGCAAATAATCATCAAAGGCATACTCAAGTGCCTATTTTAAGCTCGTTTGACAATGACCCCCCGGCCCGAGGACGGGGGACTAGCCAGCGCAGCCCAACCGTCTTGGTGGGATTGACTATCAAATCAAGCGTACGGACCAAGATCCACTAACACATATTTTCAATACAGGTTACAGATTCCCGAGACCAGCAACAGCCTCAAGCACTCCGCCGGCGCCGTTCGCCCGCAACTCGATTCATCACCGTCGACAATGTTCTTCAATACGCCTCCGACGTCCCTTCAATGCAGCAGCGCGGCCCACCACCCATCTCACGGTCCCGCCGTCTTGCCTCCGCAGCTGGGGGGTTAATAACCAGTGCGGGCAGTAGCAGTTCAAGCGCAGTGGCAGCATCCGGCAGCACGATGGGCCGACTTGCCGCGCAACCGCGACTTCCACCTCGAACGACAAAAGTCAGTGAGAAGCTGGTTCTTCTGCCTGACACCGGCGAGATAGAGGAGGGTGAAACAGAAGAAGACGATGATGACTCCGATGGTGCGGACCTCGTGGACGAGGAGCTTGTCGCGCGTCTGGCCAAGGAGAAAAATGTCGACCCGGAAAGGATCAGACACCAATTGCTCATGTCAAACCGACGTGGAGGTGATTTCGACGTCGATAATGATCTTGCACCCCTGTTAGCTCAGGAAGAAGTCATGAAGAAACGCCGTGTTGCGCCCGAGCGTGCAAAGAGTTATGCGGAGCGGTTGCCGAAAGCGCGGCGGACGGAGAAGCTTGCGCGTGTTACGGCGTACTGTACGGCTCAGGCGTATAAGATGGGATCGCTTGCCGCTTTTGTTAAGGAGCAGCATGGTGGGCGGACGAAGCTTTATGATGATTGTCTGTACACCGCGTATCATCTCCCTCTGTTGCCGGGCCATGAGGGGTATCGTCTGCGGAGTAGCCCTGTGTTGAAATATCCTGGTGGCAAGTCGCTTCTGGATGAGGAAATTGAACGGAATGAACTTCGTGATTATCATGATGAGTACATGCTTGAGACGGAGGAGCATTCGGTTGGTGGACACAGTCGTCCGGAGGATGAGCACCATTATGACGCCTCGCCGCGACAGTCTGAGGGTCTTGATCATGATTCTCGGGAGGAAAATCGTGAGGAATTCTTGAATCGCATCACCGAAGAAGTTCGTGGCCACACCAATGGCCATGAGCATGCTGCCAGCTCCGACGAAAGTGTCGATGGGTTGCAGCGTATCCCGCAACAAGACAGCAGTGAGGAAGCTCGGAAATCTTCCCCTGAACCTGCAATCCGTCGCCGAAGGCACAGCACGGACGACAGCCATGCTTTGATCCGAGACCGACCTTCCCTGCCAGCCACTACACCCTCAACACCGCCGCCTTCAATACCGCAAGCCCCAGCTCGGACTCTGTACAATGTTGCTGAGATGTTTGTCTTCAGTTACGGCGTCGTCGTGTTCTGGAACTTTACTGAGCGACAGGAGAAAGACCTGCTGGCAGATTTGGCCTTTGCGACATCATCGGCAACCGGCATCCCCACTCCTCTGGCGACGATGCCTCTTGACGAGGAAGACTTTGAGACAGAAGAGTTCCATTTCGAGTATTCAACCGAGATCTCGCGCCCACGAGTTTATAACGACATGATCACTCTTCGCAGTGGTGACCACATGATCAAACTCGCTATTAGCCATGGGATTTCTCAGAGTACCAAACTGTGCTTCTTCGAGGAAGTCATGGCCCGACAGATGGCGGACGCTAAAGACGTCCCCAGACGTCTTGCTGTTTCAGGCCAACTGGGCATGAAGCGCGAAGAGGTTTTCCGGATCTTAGGTCGATTGTTTAAGAGTCGTGTTGAGGTCAACCTTTGTAAGTTTCCAATCCCCTTCCTGGGTCATCTTGCACGCTATGCTGCAGAGGAGAGACTTTTTGTTCCATACTAATATTTTCCTCCAGCATCTAATATGCTCGATGTCCCCAACTTCTTCTGGGAGAGCGAGCCAACCCTTTATCCGCTCTACATCGCCGTGCGCGAGTATCTGGAGATCAAACCACGTATTCAAGTACTCAACGAGAGATGTCGAGTATTCCTTGATCTTGCGGAGATCTTGTCCGACTCGATTGCCGACAACCGGACTTCCCGTATGTTTTAACCTTCTCTTCCCTCCCTGGCCTCTCAACTGACCCCATTATAGACCAAACTTGGATCATTATTGTCCTAATTATCATTTCAATCATCGTTACACTCTCTGAAGCCTTCCTCCGCTTCGGCCTCCTGAATGCAAGCCAGGGTTCTGCTGGTACACCTGCCAGTATCTTGGCCCGTGCTATGGGCCGATCTGTTACTCCCTCTCCCTCACCGGAGTGGTACCCATACTCTGCCGCAAACGCGCCACCAGGCTGCATCTGCCCCTCTGTCGGCCCCGCAGGTGGTGTCACAGATATGGGCGTTAGCGGAATGATGGGATACTAATTCATTCGACTTTGTTTTTTTTTTAAAAAAAAAGAATATTATGGCGCAATTGGTGTTATGGAAAAGGACACTGGACAAATTTAACTTCCGTTGCATATTACCTCGAAACTGGCAGATTCTTAATAATTGTTGACTCTTTAAAAATTGTTCCTCTACCTGCCACATTAGCAACAATACACTTCACATTTCCAGGCTTAATTCGCCACTTCAACTGCGCAGGCATGCAGTTGACCCCGATAGCGGCCCACTCATACATCACAGCGGCCCCTTGCAGCGGCCCCGCCGGGTCGGCCATGTGACGCTAGATACCTTCTCAAAGCCTGCATGTCGGGATTTGAATTTAATATTATTATTGAGTGAAGGCATGTCATCCGACTATTACACCTGCAATCTTTGCGCATTATAAAAAGCTAGGAATCAAGATAAATATTGACTGCTGGAGAACTTGTATTGTGAAAAGGGCTATAAACTCCATCTAGTTTCAGACCTATAATCATATTTTCAATTTTCGATAGATTTGACCGAATATTTATCGTCCTCCTACTGTAAACATCCCAACCGGACTATCTTATAACAAGCTTTGTGAGTAGCGGCTTCTTGGACCATACGACAAAAGCTTTCTGATCAGCCCACTGGGAACACTCCGGGGAGAGGTATAGGTCAAATCGCCATAGAATATTTACGAGAATCAGCTTCATCTCAGCTTTTGCTAAACTATATGCTAGTTAATACTTCCAAGCTTGCATTTGTCTTTAGGGGGGATTGAATCCTCTACATACCTCTGCCCAAGACAGCCTCGAGGACCATCCGAGAATGGCCGTATGAGGTCCCTCTCATCACCGGTGTAGCTATCATCTTCTTCCTTTAGCCATCGCTCTGGCAAAAACCGATCTGCCTGAGTGAATTTGGTTGGTGATCGGTAGGAAGCGTAGTGTGGAACGGAAACAGCAATCTATAACAGCGGTGAGAAATAAGACTCGACGGCGGAGTTGAATCCTGACTTTTCCAGGCACAAATTTGCCAACAATCGTAGCGCCGCCTTCGGGGACGACTCGCGGCATCCCAAGTGGCGCTGGTGGGTACATGCGTAGGGATTCTTGCAGGACGGCATCAAGATAAGGAAGAGTAGCCACCGAGGCAAACGTGATCTCCGAGGAGGATTGAAATCGAGAGCGAATCTCCGATACCAGTTTTTGGTAGACCTCCGGCCTATCTAATATCAGGAAAGTACATCCTGACAAACTAGTTGCTGTGGTTTCACTACCCGCAACCATGAGAAAGCCAGCATTAGCGCGTATTTCGTCCTCGGACAGTTTCGCCTTCAGATTTTGTTTGGAATTCACATGAGCGATATAGTCCGGGGTGGATGGATCCTGGGCCCGTTCCATCCGTTGAGCAATCTTAGAGGCAGTAAAGCTGACGTTCGCCGCTCGAGTACGGAACAAGTCACGATAGAGATAAAGCGCGATAGTTTTGATCGGATATGACAGTAGAGGAAGATACTTGGACATGCTGAGAACAGTCCACACCTTGACCGATGCGAATTGCATAGCGACAAAAGGATGGTAGCGGGCGTCTTCCAGACATGAAAATGATTCGCCATACACGTATTCGGCCATGAAATCGAACGTCGTGTAGGTGTACCATTCCACCAGGTCGACTGTAGATCCGGCACTGGCTTCCTCGTGCAGTTTTCTTATCAGAGTATCGACGTATCCTTGGAGTAGATGTTCTTGATATTTCAGGGCCGTGTCGGAAAATGCACTGGCTAGTACTCGACGCTGACGTCGGTGAATCTCATCTGTGGGAGAAACCCCGAGATTGAAAATTCCGTTTTTTGCAACGTTGAAAAACCGTGGATCCTTTGGGAAGTTTGTTGAAAACCCGTAGATATCCTTCCATGCTTGGTCTGTGCGGAAGCTCAGCTCATCGGGAGCGATCCGGACAACATCGCCATACTTTTCATGAAGGCTTTTGACGTAGGTGTGGAGCTGGCCAGTCAAGTAGGCGCCAGCATGAGGAAGCCTCGAAATGGATACCAGAAAGGGTCCTGGATATTGGCTGAGCGGGTGAACGTATCGATTGTAAATTACCGTCCAGATAGCATATATTAGGATTCCCTGTAAACATAAGGATATCATCTGTTTGTCAAGTCTGAGAGTTAGAGGGTATACTCACAAGGGTGATTAGCTGGATCATCGGCATATTGAGGTATAAATCTCAATCGTACGGTGGTAGGTGATACTCGGTAGCAGTTGGAAATAAAGGGAAAGGGTTGAGAGTTAGGCTGTAGCTGCATCAGCCACACTATAACTATCGAGATTGTTCCAAGGTTGATTCCCACGTCATAATGGTTGATAGAACATGTTGGAGTGTTTATACAGCTTTAGAAGCCATCGCACTCAGATAATTTAGTCACCCCTTATTTTACCTCCTTATCCTCGCCTGTATACCTATGACCTATATCCTTCCTCGACTTCTCGCAAAGTTCTCATTTCTCACTTTATCTCTCATGGGCTTCTTTGTACAGTCAATATGCAAGGATGCAAGCCCCAACGAATCTATATCTATTTATAGATAATAGTATTTAAACCAGGTAACTTCTACGGCAATGTAAGTTTCCTCTATAAGCAGCTACACTATATTAGAAAGACTAAAAAGATAAAACGGGTTAAGAAGTTAGAAGCCCTCTATAGTTAGATAATCTCTTCCTATTTACTTGGCCGTGTCTCCTAAGGTTATACACTGCACGGTGCCTAAAGAAGATTTACACTTTTACGTCTCTATGGTGGCTTTCATTGTGATATCAAATTTTTATTAACATCTATTGTATCATGGATGCCGAGGTGACTGCAGTCCTAAAGATCCGGGACAAGGGGGCGGGCGCTCCCGGTTGTGCATAGCTTGTTAATTCTCTTTCCAAATCCCGCGATAGCTTCTAGAACTTGCCATAACCGTACTCCATGTACTGTATGTGGTAAGAGACAGGTTGAAAGAGCGGTGTGCACATGGTGGGATGACCGGAGAAACAGGTATATGCATGTAGTATTTCACATAGACTAGTCAGATCGAAGCAAGGCGCTGGCTCTATACGCCGATAGAGTACAAACTTTGCTTACCTTGGCTCTATTGTACATTCTTCGGATAAACCTTTGGATATGAGGTTGACACCCTTGATCTCGTTGTGAAGATGGGGCAAAATAGTATATATAGATCATAGCACACCCAGCAATCTGCTCGAGGTTGTCTTATATATTTCTCTTCTCACAAGCGTTACTATTTCTGAAATGACTCGATCCGCACCAGTTCCTGATAGACCCATCAACCTGGTTTTGGACCTCGGAGGTGTACTATTCCATCCAAAGTTCAGTCAAGTCCAGCTGGCTACTCAGGCATCTTCTGTATCCGTGAAAAGACTTGTCTCTACATCGACATGGATGGACTATGAGTGTGGAAAGCTATCAGAGAAAGAGTGTTACCAACAACTGGCGGATGAATATGGATTCCAAGCAAATGATCTTGCGATAGCCATAGGCAAAGGCCGTGCAGTTGCCGAATACGATCAAAATCTAGTGGCAAGTCTCCTGAATTTCAAAAAGGTTATGGCTGGCAAGGTGGTGTTCATTCTCGCATCAAACATTTCCAGCCCAGATTACATGGCTCTTCGGCAGCTGTGGGGAAAGGATTTCTGGTCCCTTTTCGACCACTGCTTTCCCTCTGCCACGGTGGGCACCCGCAAGCCAAGTATGCGGTTCTACCGCCACATGCTGGTGGCCAGTGGTGCTGTACCACAAAATACCATTTTCGTGGATGACCGGACGGAGAATGTACTTGCGGCTTCTGCTCTGGGTCTCAAAGGAATTGCGTTTACCGATGGCGAGAATCTCATGCAGAGTCTTCTGAACATGACTGGTGATCCGGTAGAGCGAGGCCAGGCGTTCCTCCAGGCCAACGCTGGCCAGCACCTCTCCATCACAGATCGAGGAGAGGTGGTAGAAGAAAACTACTCTCAACTTTTGATACTGGATACCACGGGTGATAGGTATGTGCTGCTCCTAGGGTAAACGTATCAACGGAGTTAACGAGATTTTCCTTGGTTAGCTCACTGGTGTCATTGAGCTGTCCGCCTAGATTCTGGAACTTCTTTACAGGTGAGTTGCACTATTTTGGAGTGAATGAACAATCCTGAAGTTAACTGTCGTTCTTTAGGCGCAGCAAAATTCACCACAGAAAAATACCCGGACGACCTTGATACTACCTCCTTGGCTTTGACATCGATGCCATACGAAACATCGACGGTGCATTCCATGCTGGATGAAATGCTGAATAACGTTGACGAGGATGGCCTGCTAAAGGTTAGAGAGCCATCAAGTATATTGGCCCCTTTGCTATATAGCTGACGACATTGGTATATAGTTCTACCTGGATACCTCGCGCCCCAGGGTTGACGCAGTGATTTGTGTCAACATTCTCACACTTTTCTGCATGTACAAAAGAGGCTATCAACTGCCAGAAACTCTGAACTGGATCTACGACATTCTACTCAATAGGGCCTATATGAATGGCACTCGATACTACACTACCCCGGAGTGGTTCTTGTATTACATGAATCGACTCCTCTCCCGGTCTAATGACCAGATCTTAAGGGTTCGATTTGAGGACCTTCTGCGGACACGGGTTATTGAGCGGATAGGTGCCGAGGGAGATGCACTGTGCTTGGCCATGCGACTGTGTGTATGCAATTCGCTTGGAATCAAGAATCGCCCCGATCTTGAGACTTTGGCTGCTTCCCAGTGCAAAGATGGAGGCTGGGAGCCGTCGTTGATGTATCTCATCCCGGGATCCAGTAGGAGGCTTGGAAACAGAGGAGTGACGACGGCATTCGCAGTAAAGGCACTCCAGAGTGCTGTGTACACACTGAACTAGATGGAGCATAGCTATGTGTTGATTAGAGATTAAATGGATAGATCGTGTACTGCTAATGTTTCGTGGAATGCAGCTGCCTCCCGTTCCTTCTATAGCCTCCCCTCATCCTTTTTCTCCCATTCGACTTTACAATTTTTCTCAGGAAATACTCTCCTTTTCATTTCCTAAACCAACCAGAAGCCCAGACGCAAACAAAGACCAGCGTCTTTCTTTCAAACGAGACAGCAACCGTCGCGTGATAACTGGGGGTCTGGACCTCGAACACTAGGAGATGAACCGCCCAGAGGGAATCACTTCCGGACAGACTGAAGGTGCGGGCATTATAATGCCGAGCGTGACGGAAAGGCTCTCAAGTATTATACCCTATGTGAATGATCATATGTTAACGAATACTAGATGCACCGACCGGAGTCTGAAAATAATGGGAGGTTGTTTATCGCTGCTTTCCCCGTCTTCAACAAGAGCAAGGAGAATCATGTGGCAAAAGAGTCAATGATACATCTAATGGAATAACCCTACGTGACTCTACCCATGCCCAGTAAAATGTGTACCAGTTCAAGGCTTTCCCACACTTCCCTGGACGGGTCACTTGAGAATAGGAGGACAGATGTCGACAGCTTTTACAGGCTAGACGGGTCAGATCAAATCAGATTAGAGCAACCACCGGTAGTAGGCGCCTATACCCTAGGACGTTACTCGGTAAGCTAAGTTATACCTACATCTGAAAGGAGATCTGAATGTTATGTTACATATAAAGTCTCTAATATCATAAGCTAAGTAACTCCACTACATCTACACCCAAAATGGCAAGGCCTCGGTTCGGAATTCCAATGCCCAGGCGCTAACTGGCTAATCATGCAACCCTGGACTAGGGCTTACTCTGGCTTCTTCTATCCCCTCTCTTTTCTCCGATCCAGCAAGGTATAATCCAGAACTATCTAGAGTCAGCTCATCCATGATTATAGACCTTGATTATAGACGACATCCTTCCCCGTTCCACATGGTTATCGTTCAAGTCGATAGGCATTTATATGGCACTTGATAATATACAGTCGAGATAGCATTGGCATTCGACAAGACAATATTTTCCACCAGAGTAGTCTCTTTGAATTACCTCATTGGCTTCATGTTCTACTTGATCGCATATTCAAATCCCGAAGGCCCACCATGAGTTCACCCAGCGAAACTGCATCTTCACCCTCCACGGACACAATCATCCCATTTCATTTCTGGGATGATGTCCCTCATACGAGAGGAATATGCATAAATGTCACACTCCGATTTGACAAAGAACTTAACCCAGAGAGACTTCAGGATTCTCTAAGCAGTCTACTCGAGATCGACAACTGGCGAAAACTCGGAGCTCGTCTACGATTAGACGTAAGTATCCAAATATCCAGAAAGCCAAAGACGGCGAAAGTCCCCAATAGCTAAACCCATAGACCAGGACTCGGGCAAACTGGTCTATCACCTTCCGCCAAAATTCACCAAAGACCGACCAGGCTTCATATTCACAACGGAAGAACATGACGGCAGTATCAAAGCCCATCCTTTGGCATCACAAATGCCCTCTTCCACGAAATTAGACCCCCATGTCTGTGTCCTAGACGGGATGACCAAATATTCCCCCCTCGTACGTCACAAAACTGCACCCACCGGCATAGCAGATTGGCTACAAACAGACATCCCACAGCTGGTCATCCATACAGTCCTCTTCAACGATGCAACGCTTCTCACGTTAACATTCCAGCATACTCTTATGGATACAATGGGTCTATCTTCCTTCCTGCATGCATGGACAGCTGTATTATCAAACCGCGAAAAAGACATTCCCCCGTTCCTCGGGTTCGATGAAGATCCCATAGAAACAGATACGGAAGCCGTGTCCGAGCAACCAACAATTGCAGGGATTGTATTCGGAAAGATTTTGCTTCTGCGTTTTGCTCTCGTGGGCTGGTGGGAGAAGTACTGGTTTCCGAAGGTGAAGGATAAAGTCCTTTTGATCCCTGGGGAATATGTGGACAAGATGAGAAAGAGGACGCTTCAGGAGATACAGGAGCTAGAAGAAGAGGGCGAGATAAACACAAACATCCAGAATGATGAGCAAGCCAAAGCCCAAAACAGTCAACCCCCATTCGTCAGCGAAAGCGATATCCTCCTAGCATTGATTTCAAAACTCCTTGTCAAAGCGCAAAATCCCAACCAGCACGCTCCAGTCCAGATTTCGAATATTTTCGACATTCGCTCTACACTTGGCCTCCCGTCTCCGGGCGTGTACATCGGGAACGCGATAATGCCATCGTGCTCAGACTTCGCGGCACGCGAGTTTGGAGATTGGTATCACGGCATGGGTTTCGAGTGCCGGTTGGGTCCTGTTGCAATGAGGATCCGCAATGCGCTAGAGACGCAGCGGGCGAAGGAGCAGGTTCTCGCACGTACAGCGTTGCGGAAGAAGACGCTTCGCGAGATGGGGTGTTTGCCCCTTGTTAGTCATCCTCGACAGCTTGGTATTTCCTGTACCAATTGGCAGAGGGCTGGGTTCTTTGGGGTTGATTTTGGGGGCGCGGTTGTTGGAGGTCAGGCTGGGGAGAAATTTATACCTTGTAGACCCTCTTATGTTAATACAGCGGGACCGGGACCGTTGGATGGGAATGGGCCACGGAATATGGTGACTGTTACTGGGAAGGATAGCGTTGGGAATTGGTGGGTGCATATTATTGCGAGGGAGGAAGTTTGGGGGCAGATTGAGGAGTGGACGAGAGAGCTGGATTTGCGGTATAGATGAGGGTTACCATGAGCTTATGAATACTTTTATACTGGGATAAGAGGAGAAATAGGTCAAAGATGAATCCAAAATCCCCGTCGAGACGGACATGCTAAATATGAAACAGAGACAGTAGATATCAGTACATAGGGCCGGGATTTCAAAGCACAAGAAACCCAAGCCCGGTTTTTCCTCGCTCTCCAACATTCGTTTTATCGTATATCCTTCAAAATTTCCTTTCTAGGCAATTCTAAATTTAACCGGTAACCTTGAAGATGGACTCGGCGAGTCTCTCAACGTTGGCGGAGGTGATACCAGCGACGGAGATACGGCCGTCCTTGGTAGCGTAGACGGAGTGCTAGAGAATTTGTTAGGAATCAGGTCTGAAGAGATATGCGAATGTAAATCTTACCTCCTTAGCAAGGGTGTCCATCTGCTCGGGCTTCAGGCCAGTGTAGGCGAACATGCCGATCTGGATATCAAGTCAGTCATTGGGATCATACTGAATCGGAACCAATTTTCGCTCCTTACCTGGCTGGTGATGTGGGACCAGTCGTGCTTGCTGCCAAGCTTCTCGAGGTTGGTGCGGAGAAGAGAGCGCATCTCGATGATGCGGCTAGCCATGCCCTCGACCTCGCCGAGCCACTGCTTGTTAAGAGCAGGGTCGTTCATGATAGTGGAGGCGATGCGAGCACCGTGGATGGGAGGGTTAGAGTAGAAAGGACGAATGAGGATCTTGATCTGCGAATCGACGCGCTTCTTCTCCTCGGCGTTTTCGCAAACGAGGGAGAAAGCACCAACACGCTCACCGTAGAGACCCATGTTCTTGGCGAAACTCTGGCAAAGAGCGATGTTGTGGCCCTGCTCGACGAAGTGGCGGGGAGCAAAGGCATCCTGGTCGGCGTTACCGCTGGCAAAGCCCTGGTAGGCCATGTCGAAGAAGGCGAAGTGGCCCTTCTGCTTCATGACATCGCTAATCTGGCGCCACTGAGCCTGAGTAGGGTCGACACCGGTGGGGTTGTGAGCGCAAGCGTGGAGCAGGATGATGCTGCCCTCGGGGGCGGCCTTGATGTCGCCAATCAGACCCTCGAAGTCGAGGCCAATGGTGTCCTTGTTGTAGTAGCTGTACTGGGCGACCTCGAGACCAGAGTCGGAGAAAACAGCCTTGTGGTTAGCCCAGCTGGGGTTGGGGAGGTAGATCTTCTTGGCGCCGGGGTAGAACTGCTTGAGGAAAGCACCACCAATGCGCAAGGCTCCGGTACCGGAGATGGTCTGAGTGATGACGAGGCGGTTGTCCTTGATGGCGGAGGAGTCGGCGCCGTAGGCAAGCTCGGCAGCGGCGGTGGTGAAAGCGGGAACACCGGTGATGCCAGCGTACTCCTTGTCCAAGCGCGATGCGACGACCTTGTCCTCAGCGGCGCGGACGGAGGGCAGAACGTAAGGCTTGCCCTTGTCGTCACCTGAAAAAGCAGAATGGCTCGTCAGCAATCCAATATCCAATGTATTGCGCAACGAGGCGATTGTTTGGGGCGAGCCTTACGGTAGGCACCAACGCCCAGGTTGATCTTCTCCTTGAAAGAGTCGGCCTTGAAGGCTTCGGTGATGCCGAGAATGGCGTCCTATTAACCAAGCTACGTTAGAATTGGTCTTTCAAACCACCAATCTGATGATTGCACGCCCAACACAAGCTTACAGGAGGACCCTGGGGAACATTGGCCCAGGCCGAGGCGTGTCTAGCTCCGATCACGACGGTGCGCATGTTGACCTCGCGGGAGGCAGCCGACCGGCTGGCGACTCTGAGAGTGGAAAGCATAATGGCAAAGGAGATGAAGAAAAATTTAAAAGGACAACACCTAGCTCTCCTAGATTTGGGTGGAAAAGGAAAGGGAAGAACCGGGAGAGGAGAGGAAGAATATAAAAGGGTCGGAGACGTAGTCCCGATGTTTTTGCCCTGACTCATGTGATAATGGTACCAGGTACCTGCCTGTTGGTATGTTACTCCACCTCGGCTGAGGTACCAGGTACAACCAACCCCGGCGAGTTGCGCGAAAGGGATTGGCTACATCCTCCGGCTAAATTACAGGGATTGTTGTTTTTAGGGCTTGAAGTACGATTCTTGATTCTTTGTATAGTTCATAGCTTGAACGCATTGAATTGACTCTGGAATGTATGAGACCAAAGATTTCGTATATCCCTTGTATACTCCGTACACCGTATAACACGTATAACACACCATCAGCCCATCTCCAAATATTTTCTCGGCAAGTTCAACCTCCGGTGAACTGATCAAGGCTGTTTACTCCACACCGTTTCCCCTCACCGTTGGGGTAGAAATGGACTATTTCCCCGAGTCTAAGAGGCACTTAATTCGGTTAAATATCTTTTGGAATAGCCGCCTTCTCCGCACACGAAACATTGATGGCCTAAATATACGTTCGGACTTTTGACATAGACTTTGGATATCGTAAAATTGGTATTTGACTAGTGAAACGAGAGAGAAAAGATCAGCCCATGCGAACACCAGCCTGGCGGTTCTTCCGCGCAGCAGTATCCATAACAGTGTTCATGCCGGTGTTCTGGCTAGCGTCCAGCGTGCTCATAGACTCGAGTTTCTTTTCATCTTCAATCTTCTTCAGACGCTTCTCGGTCTTCATCTTTCCACTGCCCTTGCCGTGGAACTGGTGGCTGAGTTGCTTGAAGGCTTCCTTTTGGTTCATGTTGCGACCGAACTCATCCACATACCGCAACTGGACGTCGGGCTTGTATTCGCGGTTGAACACCTCGGCCATATGACGTGCTTCCTGCTGGTCACGCTGCTTGTTCTCCCAGCGTGCGTGCTCCTCACGCTCACGGGCTGACATGCGCTCAAGCTTGCCGGAGGTACGGTCTCGTTCACGCTGCTGCCGGGCGCGTCGCTCGGTTTCGGACTCGCGGTTCGACTTCTCGGCCAAGAAACGCTGGCGATCGCGCATAAGTGCGTTTTTGCTGCTGCCGTCGTTGTCTTTGACCAGGCCACGCGACTTCAACATTGATAGAGTAGCAGCTAGACCCTGGTCCAGACTTGATTCCTCTTCTAGACCTGTGCCGGTGAGTTGTTGTGGCTCGGCCGCAGATTCTTGATCACGCTTGATGCGCGCGGCCAGCTCCTCTTCGTCTTCGATATCGCCGTAACGGTCCATATCTATTTCCACGCCTTCTCCTTCAGGCTCGGCGCTGGGGCTTTCAGGCTCCTTGGTCGCAGTTCTAGTGGGTTTCTCTTCCTGCGCGAGGAGTGTGGGCTTGTGTAGATTTGACACAAACTCTGATGTTTCGTCGATAATGAGGCCAGGCTCTTCGCCTTCATTATCTGAGTTTTCAATCTCCATTGGGGTCTGAGTCTCCTCTTCTCGAAGCTGTTTCGCAAGTTCCTCGGGGCTGATCTTCTTGCGCTTCTTGAAGGCCGCGCGTCGTTGCAACGCAAGAGAGGCTTGTAGATCATCGTCATCCACGAAAGAAACATCTTCATTGATGGGCTTGCGGCGAGCGGGGACTGGGACTCCACCATTTGAATCAATATCCATGGCCGAAGACCCCTGCGCATCGGTCGAATCCACGACTGGAGCGATCTCGTCGTCGTCCATAAAAGCCCTCTTTTTTGTAGCTTTAGCCTTCTTCTTCTTAGGCTTCTTAATTTTGACCTCGCTGATGTCCATGTAATCGGAAGACGGCACTTCCGGCTCAAAGTCGAGACTGATAATGTTCTTCCGTAACTCATTCGAAACTTCCTGTCGCTTTGCTTCGCGTTCTTCGGTCGAGCCTTTGGCGTCGAGAGTAAATCTCTTCCGCTTTTTGCCATCGATCTCATCATCGTATTGTGAAAGAATACCTTGGTTCTCCGCTGTAGGATCGTAAACGGGCTTTTTCTTCTTGAGTTCCATCTTCTCTTCGGTTCTCTCCTTCTCAACTAGATCGAGGTTTTGGAGCTCATCGTCCTCTTCGTCGTCGTCCACCGCGGCGTCCTTCAGCGTCAAGATATGATCTTCACCACCCTCAAAAGCACCCGCAGAATGTCCAACCTTGATACCAGCCAGATCCGCTGCAGTGTACTCGGCCGCTGCAAGGCGCTCCCGCTCCTCGAGCTCCTCGGCCAGTCTCTGGGCGCGTTCCTTCTCGATTTTCTTTTGGCGTTTCTTGGATTGTGCCAGCCAGGCCATGGTATCGAGTTCCTCGTCATTCCCCTCGCCTAGTGTGGATCCTTGAAGTTGAAGATTCCTTTGGGCGATATCACGCGCTCGCTTGATGGCGGCATTCTTTTCGTCTCGTTTCCGCTTCGCTTCGGCGGCATCTTGGACCTTCTTCCAGTTGTCGTAGCTTTCCGCCTGTCGTGTTTCGATAGTACTGGCTGGGTCTTCTTCCTCGCCGGACTCGCTGTCGTCTTCTCTAAACTCTGGGCCAGCGCCGGGGACTGGGAGTGGCTTGAGACCAAGAGCCACTCGAATCTTGTTATTTTGCTCGATGGATAAAGCGTCCGCCATTTCGACGGTGTATGGAGAAGGAGGGGAGGAGATGGTAAAGTAATGGTCTCCGGCGCGACGCCTTCTGGATTCCTGATAACCGTAATCGGGTCACATGATTTGAGCGCATCGTACTATCCCAATCTAGGCCTAGCGTCACAAAATCTTAGCGGCCCCACTTGCGACATAAATAAGAGCCTTCCCGCTTTTTCTTTCCTCTTTTCTTCTTCACCAAAACCGGATCTGTGTCCAGATTTCCTGCCCATGGATTCCAGTCTGACTGGTTTCTGTGTGGTGGTTGAGAGCTGGGCATTTCGACGAGCTTGGAGCCATCATTTTTTGCGTGGATGGCCTTTACGGTTTCCGGTCGACAGATCTCAGATTAATTGTCTGTGCCTTGTGACGCGGGTCTTGAGCTCCCACTGGTGAGCTCGGCTTGATAGCTTGGTTTCGGACGGCGTCATATTTCATATCTCTTTGCCGATTGGCCGTTGGCCGCTGAGGTTAGGGAATAACCATGACTTGCCAACATCTCTTATATAGAACCTGTATTTTGTAAATGAATCCTCGATTAAACAAAGTCTTCGTTTTGCGGGACTGTTGTCTAGGGAACGTGCTAAACGTATTTTCCCTAAGCGCCTATCATGGATGCACCATCGCGTGTTGCATGCTGATGCACATGCTGAACGATGGATTCAGTAATGCTGGGAAGCTGTTCGTCGACGTCATGATCATCGCCTATCTAAATACAAAAGCTCATGTACAATGCGTAATTTACAGCAGCTTCAAGTGTCCCGTCACGCCGTCAACCACACTCTTGGGGCCCAAGACTCCAAGCACGGTCTTGCTCCCACTTGCGATCTGAGTGCGCCCAGCGTCCTGGATAACGCGCGTGCAAAGCCCAAGGCTAATAGCCTGAGCCTGCATGACCAGCAGCTCATCCTCGGACTTGACCTGCAATGCGATCTTGGCCTGGCCACCGCGCTCCCATTTCTTGAGGATAGGCGAGTTGGGTGCGTACTCGAGGAAGTATTTGTAGCAAGCGAGGGTAGCGTGGCCGCATTGGGCGGCGATTTTGCCTAGAAAAGAGAGATTGTAAGCGCTTGCAACACAAATGCGAAGAATGATTGAAACGTTCGTGAAGCACATACCTTTGGTCATGCCCAGGTCCATGCGGACGACGAGCACCAGCTTCACCTCCTCGGTGTTGTCCTTGAAACTGGACAGTTCTTCACCGTTGCCTTCATCTTCCTCGTCGGTCTCTTCTTCTTCGGAGTCTGATTCCTCTTCGTCGGAGGAGTGGCTGTGGACCTTCACATCGTAGCTGTTCGGCCACCCTTCTTCCTTCTCTTTGAAGAGGTTGAGTGAGGAGCCTTGGCCGATGAAGTATCCGGTCACACCTGCAATGATGGCCGTTGCGATCACGTAGGCTGCCGTTGTGGGAGGTACCCGGTCTAATGGTACTGGCGCGGCCATTTTGTTGGTTGTGTGGTGGTTGGAGATCTCGGCGTGGCGCAAAATAAAAATGTGAGGGAAGCTCGACCGCCCTGCATATCTTCACGTTTGTTCCACTGCGCTCACCTTGGGCTCACCTTTTTTTTTTCTTTAGTTCAACAGATTTCAGATAAAGGACATTATGAAGGACTCGATATCTCTGGGATTTTATATATTTGAAAATTGCCGCTCGTGTGCTCGGTTGAGCTAGTTCTGGCTGTGTCTTCTTATTCCTACTCACACTACGAGGTACCAATGATCGAGATATGCTGAATGACATGACCGCACGATTTCGCCTCTAGACTTTCACAGTCATACACTTTAGTGAAAGTTTGAGTTTGATTCAGGTATAATATTCGTTCCACCATCTATAGTTCCTCTGTTCCCCAACTTCCCTGTCTCGGGAATTGGGGTAGCCCTCTGAATCGGGGCCATGTATATTGAAGCCTTAGTTCTCGTTCTTATAATCAGCCATCCAGTTCTCATTCCCACCCAAGTATCGGAACACGATCCGTGAGTCCAAGTCCTTGCATCGCTCATCATCACTAGCCTCCTTGTATGTCTGCAATCCCACACTCCCCATCACATTAGTCGATCCCACACGACGGGCCATATCCAAGGCCAACGAAATATCTTTCTTCATAAGCTGGACCTTGAAATCGTTCTGGTAACCGTTTGAGGATGGCGCATCGGGCCAAATTCCGGGCACCGGGTTGAAACGATCACAGATCGTGTTTTGGGCAGTGCCGGCCGCATAAACCCGAGCCAGGACTCGTGGGTCTAATCCGGACTTCATTTCCATGTCCATGGCCTCCGAGGCCACAATGCTGATCATACGGGAGAGGTAGTTATTAGAAAGTTTGGCTGCGAGTCCGAGAGAGGGGCCGCCACAATGGATGGCTTTGTTACCCATCAGGCTAAACAATTGCCTGACATCTTAGATATCATTGATGTCTTCTTCCGCACAGCCGAGAAAGAATGCAATTGTTCCTCGCTTCGCTCCGATCACACCGCCACTCACCGGGGCATCGTAGAATGAGGTGTGAGAAAAAGTCTTGGTAATGTGGTCCTTAACCTCCAGGAAACTTCCGGTGTCGATAGTCGAGCAGTCGATTAGAAGTTTCTCTCCGACGTCGCTGGAGCAGATTCCACCCGGTCCCATGTAAATTTCCTTGACATGCCTTCCTTCGGGTAGCATCGTGATAATTATATCCTAGTAGTATTATATCGCGTCAGTTCCATCTCTAAATGCAAGAATAGTGAAGCGGTTTAATAATGCATACAGATTTGTCGGCAACTTCCTTCGGACCAGAGTATCCGATGATCCTCTCCGGATATTTTGTGCAGATATCGTTCACGATATCAAACACATAAATCTTGGAATTGACTGGAAGCTTGCTGGCCAAGTTGGTTACCATCCAGAAACCCATGTTTCCAAGACCAATGAACCCAATACCCTTTGTCTTCGTCATCTTGAGAGTCCCGTGGATGCAAGATTGGACGAAAGGAGGTAGGTAAATCTCAATTCAAAGTCTCGTAAGTTAGTCGGAAGGTAAGAGGTAAAAAGGATGAACAATCAAGTGCTGTGATCTGAGCGGGGAACAGGACAATATGAAAAACGAGCTTGATGTAACATGAGGGAACACCCTATGTATATACATCTCAAGTTCTGTCTACAGGAATCGGCATTTGCGGTTGACTCGTTCTTCCTTGCCCCAATATTGGGGTATACCCGTCTCTCTTGCTCCGGGATCCCCAACTCATTAATTCCCCCACTCTAAAGATAATAAGATTCATGCCAAATACAAGGACATAACTTCGGACGAGGTCTTTGCTTATCATTAGCAGTTGAAACTCAGGCTCGCATTCATGTCTGTTGATAACGAACCCTATGTGCAAATGCACGCTCTCCAAGCCGGTCGCCTCACGCTGCCAGAACGACTCTTCCGCTTCAGAAAGCGCAAGACGAACAGTGCCCTCGCTATCCTTTCTAATTCAACATGTCAACTCAGTAAACAAGATTACACGAATTGTTTTCGATCTTGTTCTACGACATCCATCCACCAATTATCCGATCCCAATTCAACGTCATTTAGAGACACGACACCCTATGGCTACCGAACCCAACGTCGTACAAAGCTTAGCAGCTGGCGGATTATCAACAGATGATATCGACTATGTGATATACTCACACGTATGTATCCCATGCATTGATCATAGTGTGCATTCACCCTGCTGAAATGTCATCAAGGTCCACTGGGACCATATCGACGAGCCAAAAGCCTTCGATACAAGCACCTTCGTTGTTGGCCCTGGCACGTCGTCTCTACTAAAAGACAGTTTGTCCCTTCGTGGAAGTCATTCTTTTTTCGAGCCTGATCTGCTACCTGTGTCGCGAACCATTGAGCTCCCCCCTACAATAGGTGTCACAGAACAAGGGTCTTCCACTGGTAGACCTGCCCGAAATGGAGTCACGCCGGATTTCAGTCAGTCGTGGATACCCCATGGGTTCCTTCCCCGGACAATAGATATCTTCCAAGACGGAAGCATCTTGGTAGTCGATGCACCGGGCCATCTCCCGGGACATATCGATATTCTCGCTCGCACGAGTCCTGGTAAGTATACATACCTAGCTGGGGAGGCGTGCCATGATCGACGTATCATGAGACGAGAAAGGGAGATTGGAGAATGGCATGATGAGTCTGGTCACATCTGTTGCATTCATACAGACAAGAAGCAGGCTTAAAAAACCATTTCATTGATCTTGCAGCTCGAGTCTGAAGGTGTTGAGGTTATATTGGCCCATGATGTCGAGTGGGAAGAGAAATCAGAGAATCAAGCTCGGTTTTTCGGGACTAGCTAGCAGAGCCCTATTGGGACTAGTCTCTAGGAGGAATTATCGGAGTCTTTCGAATTTACAACATGTTTCCGTTGAGTTTGAATGTAATATGCAAGCGTATCTGGAGATTCATTCATATTTATGAAACTACATGAACCTTGTAATTGTAGAAAGTCATTATTCAAACATAGGTTTAGATATATATTTTAGAGTGTGGGGGGTTCAGTTGGGTACTATAGCTTCTTGGCCTTTACATTAGGTGCCAAAGGCCTGGTATTCGGGTGGCAGGATTGTTTAGAGGGGATTCTTTAGGGGCTGCCAGGGCCTCGGGGGAGTAGGCTAAAGTTCGTCTCGGCTGTAGCCTTTTGGAGCTACCTTTGTTTTACCTCTTTTATACAATATTTATTTTTTCGGTTCGCATATCTCTTGTTCCGTGGTTATTATGCTGATCAAGAAAATACACATGCAGATATTCATACCTAAATGGGTCCAAAAAATAAAGGTAAATTCCCTCTAGTGACGACGAAGCTATATGTTCTATATGTCCCCCGAATTCCCTATCGGGGAAGGGTTACGGGGAACATGAACAGTTTCCCCAAGACCAAGAACTGAAATTGCCAGTACTGAATATATTCAAGGGACCCCCAAGCTCAAAATTATAAGCTAAATTTTCATTTCACTTTCAAACAACCCAGGACGACATTTCGTAGATGCAATATCTTCTTCTGGGATGTCTTTTCGGCGATGGCAGGAGACTTTGCGGACGAGGTAGATGTGCTGGATCAAGGCGTGGGCTAGGATATAGTTTCCAAGTGTAGAATTTGGCACAATGTGAGTAGTGTTGAAACTTTCCTGAAATAGGTGAGAGAATGCATCCTTGAACCAAATTTCATGCTCCTTGTCTTTCAACTTCTGCCATTTGTTTTCGGACGTTGTTCGAAAGGTTGCAAACTGGCAAGGCAGTAACATCCCATCGATATCCGAGCTAAGAATTGGAGATGGAATGTTGTAGACAATGGTGTGCAAGTTGAAGAAGCAGAATACTATCCACTTAGTTCTCTTGGTACTTTCATATCTAGCCCAGTTCTCCCAAGTGGTATTCTCTGGTAGTGGTGTCGTTTTGAGACCATCATCGCGAACGAGAGTTGCTAGGATACTCTGAATGGCCAGGGCTTCACGCAAGATTGTCCGATGATTTGACCATGTTGCCTCGGCCATGAGGAGCAAGAGAGCTTGTGCGGTTTGGATTGCGTTGTCGTTTTATTGTACTGATTGATTGTTGTCAGAGGAGGGCTCTCTGGACAGCCTATCATTATCTGAATGAGATGTATGATACACTGATAACGCATCATGTCTCCTGGTGCGCTCTCTTGAAATAAGGTGGCTTGCTTGGAATAATTGGACTGTTCTTTCGGGCTCGAAGCAACACTGTGCCCCGATTGAGGCGATGGCCAGTACAAGTTCAATACAACATTCCTCCGATGAGATAGTGGGAATTTGCAGAAAAGGCATGTGCTCGTGAAACCCCTTGAGATAGTCTGTCAAGTAATGACACATGGCTAGCCTGGATGGCATTTGAAATGATTCGGGCACTACTACAACAAATTGTTCCAGCCTGGCAATAAGAACGTTGCGAGTCTGTGTACTAATTCCTTCAAACAAGTTGGCTGCGCGGGCTATTTGGAGAGCTCATGGTATATCGTCTTCTGGCTGTAAGGACGGCAACCGTGACCCAAGTCTTGAGAATGTATCAGTCTCTGTCCGTTGCTGCGTGCTAACTGTTCCTAAATCTGCCCCCAGGGCCGGGGTTATACATCCAGTGTCGTTATAGTGATCTGGCAGAGGAGAATCGAGTCTCTGTGTTGGTGAGATGAATGAAGTAAAATCATCTGCTAATGGGGTATGGTTATCCATGAATGCTGCCAAGTCTTGAAATGGATCACTGAACAAAGTTTCTGTTAATTGTGCCTGGAATTGAGTAGAGAAATTAGGAGAGAGATCGTTGGAATTGTTCAACTGCTGTTCGGGGAAACCGTCTTGGTTCAAGTGTTCGGATAAATCGTTAACTTCTTCCAAACTGATTCCGGTGGCCTCACTTGAGCCCACGTAAACCGGTTGAAAATATTGAGCGCCAGTTTCCTCCGCAGAGACACCAATACCAACCAAGGATTGTGGCTCATAAATCCCAGCATTTAGGTATTTGCCATTCTGTATCCCGTTTTGAGTATGCATTGAGCGTCGTGGCCGTTTTGATCGGCGCGCACCTCTTTTCTCGTTCTGCTTTCCAGATCCTGAGTGACTGAGTCTCTCATGGCGGACTAGCAGGTCACTTTGAATTGTTAGCAGTGATCGATTATAGTAGCTCTTCCGAGAAAATCACGTTCTTGAAAAGTCACGCTCCCATTGAGAGCAACTGAAAGGCTTTTCGTGTGTATCTATCTACCCGGCATCAGTAATTGTGTCGGCTATTTAAATGTAAGGACGTACGGGTCCTCTCATGTCGTTGTTGATATTCTAGTCGAGCAAAGTGCCGATCACACTGCTCGCATCGAAATCGCTTTGTTTTGCGCGCAGCATGACTAGATCTAACCTTCGGGGACGAATGCCTCGTGCTAGAAACCATAGTTGTTGGATCAACAACCCGCAAATGCGTGGGTTGGGAAGGATGTTGCTGCAGCAGAGGAAGAATCCATAATAGAAGACTGAATTCTGCTCTTCTGACGGGTGATTCTTGTTCTCAACTTGCAAGGGCCAGTTGAACGGCAAATGTTCCAACCTCGGAAGCAAAGACCTCGTTCCTAGCCGATTATGCCGTGCGGGGATAATCCGGGGTAGACCCACGGCGGTACCAACAGTTAAACCCCAAACAGTTAATTCCATCCGCCTTTGCATCTTCGATGTCAAGAGAGACATGATACTCCGGCGAATAATCAACGGGGCACCCCAAAGTATAGCAGGAGTTTGCGACACGATTCTTCCTTGAATATTGACAAGGTATCAAATATATCAGCCAGGTTCGACTTATCTCTATCTCCAAATTCCAGCAAATCTAAAGACGAGACTAGCAACATGGACCACTGCGGTTGGATCTCGGTCCTCCCTCAAGCTTGGGCCTGGTTCATTCATGCCAGTGAGACCAATATCTGGGTCTCACAGAAGAGCATTGCTCCGCTCACTTCAGTTCTCAATTGAAGAAGAGAGACCACCTCCTGTAGAGCGACTAGGAGAGTGAATTCGAATTGGGCAATGACTACGACCTCGAATATGATGGCTCAGAGTGCAACAGCATACGCGTTATATAGAAAACCCTCCGCATAAGTCGTGTAGCAAAGGGGATACAACCTTGGAATGATGTTTTATAAAATGTTCTGGACAGGGAGGTAAAGCTGGGTGTCAAAAGAGTTACTAATAATGCATTCGGTGAATCTGTTACAAAATCCCACTAGATAGCTAGGATCCGTAGATTAAAAAGGTAGCTGGAAAAAAGGCCCAAGATCGAAGAGGCCCTATCCCTGACAGATATCTGCCCAACAAAGAACACAACCCAAGCCAAGCATATTGGACGCATCACAATACGCTACCACTGATTATATACAACCCAAAACACCAACATAGACCCAAAGAGGCTATTCAGTTTGCGCTACCAGCGGGGGCAGCAGCACGAGGGGCGTTTCCAGTAGGACCCACGCGACGGCTCCTAATTCCGGTGTTAGATTGATAACAAACGACAAGCACAAATCAATATCAACTTACATCATGGTACGGCTGAAGAAACTGATACCAATCATGAACAGCCAGCTAGGAACAGCACCGAGAGCCCAGATAACGTAGCCCATGGGAATGTTGAGCTGGTACTTAGCGACCCAGCCGTCAACAGGGTGGAGAGCACCCTCATAGGGGGGAACTTCTCGTAGGTCTTCTTGGCGTGGATCTCGTAGATGGTCGCGGGGGTAACGGTGGTGGAGTTCAGGTAGATGTTGCGGAGAGGAGTCGGGGCACGCTCCTCGCCAACAGCGGGTGCCTTGGGGACCTGGTAGTACTGGACGGAGGGAGCGCTGGCGGACCAGGCGGCGCACAGGACCTGGTTGGCCTCGCAGTCCAAGTATCCGAGGTGAGGTGAGGTAGGATCGGCGGAGAACAAGAGAACGGATTCCTGGGAATTGCAAACGCGATGTTAGGGATTTGGGACTTGGCGAAAAGACGCGTCGGGAGCAAAACATAAACTCACCTTGAATGCCTTATCAGCAGTTCCGCAGCGACCGAAGCAGGTCTTGTTGCCACCAGTGGTGTAGATCAACCAGTCCTCAGCCTTGGGACCCGGGGCAAGGATAGACTGCCAGTTGTTCAAGGACACGTGGGTGACGCTCTTCTCGGTAACCTTCTCGGCCAGCTGCTCGATCGGGGAAGCCGGAGCTGCTGTCGGCACGTAGGACTTGACCTGGTTGAACCAGCCCTGCACGCGGTCGGCGAGAGGGACCTGCTCCTGGGCCAGGGCCAGGGCAGGGAGGAGGGTGACAAGCGACGTGAAACGCATCTTGAGGGCTGAGGCGCGGAACAAGTTAGTGAGACAGGTCTCGGGAATAATCAAGTCTAACAGAAGATGAAACTATCTCAAGACACTTACCAACTGAAGGGGGATAAGAATTGACACAGTCAGAGACAAGAGGAAGAATGGTGTTCAGAGGGAGTTGGGACAGCTGGCCTGAGCGCTAGCCAACCACAACGGTTTAATTTTACTCCCGCACCTCCTTTCTCTGCACCAATGGCACCATTCCTATGCGATTAGTTCTGAGAATGTTCTAGATTCATTAATATCTTCTTTTTGGCCATAATCATCTTATATTGCAATTGATTAGATCTTTCGATGTGGATTCTGACTTGCATAAAGCTCCCTACCCCACAAATTCAGAAGTAAACAATCGGTATCATCCGTGTATATTAAAAGCTCGACTTTTGTTGTCAGGTCTTGGACGGTAATCATAACCAGAATACACTGATACTAACCGTTGTATATCTTCCAACCAAGTGGAACCATCCAGATGAAGACATATAATGCATATCGGATTGGGATTCTTGTGGATAGAATACTTCTTAGTATGAAATTGATATTGTAAAGCGCTTGGTCTCTTGATTCTTGGGATATGAATCCACCCCTGTGGATAACTCCTTTTTCTCTACGGAAAAATACACAATCAAAATAGTATCAGGTTCCGTGGGAAGTGGTCATATATATCCCGGGTCGAAATGTAATCCTGCAATAATGTGTACTACTACTACTTATAAACTACACAAGCGACGACAAGCTGCAACGGCAGCACGAATCTTACATCCGTAGGGGGTTGAGATTTTTGGCGAGTCGGAGGAACTATTTAGTGTTAGTGTTGAAACTGTGGTGGCGAGATTATACAGAGCTATAGCAAGAACTGGGTGGTGATACTGAAGGGTTGAAGGAAAGTAAACAACACTATTACATTTGGCGATTATCGATTGGCCCATATGAAATTGCAAGAAATCTATATGGAGTTTGTGATTCAAGTATCCAGATTTCTCTCGTGGGGATGTAATTAGCTTATTGAGTATTTTGAGATATACTGGTTAAAGAATGCGAGAGTACATATGTAGCTATACGTACCATTTTTCCTCTGCCGGGTGGGGCTTTCCTATCTTAGCTGCTGCCGCTTTTACGAGGGCGCTCAGAGTCAGGCTCAATGAGTAAATTTCAGTCCGGGCTCAGGCTCAGTGATTGTGATTGGATGCTCACTGTCGATGAAGCGTCAAGACAAGATCAAAGCTACCTCTGAATCATCCGGATGATTCGAGTACTCGCAAGCCCCGTCAGAACCTCAACACAAAAGAGAAACGAAAGCTGCTTGGGTTCAAGGGCTAGAAACTGACCCTGAGGCAGATTGGGTCCCAGTTCGCAGACATAGATACCGCCTTTCTGCGACAGACCTGGCAGGATTTGGAGCTTCCGCTCAACCCGCCGTTCGCCGTGCTACTCCTACCCTAGCTTAACAGCGCAGAGGATACCACAAGAAGGTCCTAGACCACTATAACAACCCCCGTAATATCGGCTCTATAAAGAAGGGCGACCAGGACGTCGGTACCGGTCTCGTTGGTGCACCCGCCTATAGCGATATTATAAAGTTGCAGATCTGCGTGAATAAGGAGTCCGGCTGTATCGACGACGTCGTCTTTAAGACCTTCGGCTATAGTAGTGCCATCACTTCCTCTAGTTATCTGACTAAGCTTATACGCGGTATGACCCTCGACGAGGCTAGAAAGATCAAGAACACCGATATGGCGAAGGAGTTATGTCTCCCTCCTATCAAGCGTATATCTTCTCTTCCGTGATAAGGTTTTATAGGTTCGCATACTAATATATACATATAGTGCACTACTCTATGCTTGCTAAGGACGCTATTAAGTCTGCCATTGCCAACTACTACACCAAAAACCCTAACATCCGTGCCACTGATCTCTCTAGGACAGGTGGCGTCATTCCTGATACTAAGGTTAAGTCTACCACTAGCAGCACTGCTGCTTAAATTGATTCCTCCTTGATTTGACGATGTGATGCTGTCGGAATGACGCAACTCACTCGGCCCGTTTCACAAACTCTGCGATTTTAATTCCGAGGTTATTTTAATACACAATCATTTGATCAAGGGTGCCTATTCTTGTCGGAGAGCATTGACAAGAACTGGTGTGCATTTGGAATCCGTTATACTTCCTATCGCTGAAAATGTGCTCCAAGAGATGACGATGGATGAGATGAAAACGAACAAATTGCCCAATTGTTTGATGTACATATTCCGCTTTTACTTTTCACGTCCTGATACGTTGCTTTTTTCTTTTCTTTTTTTTCCTGCGACGGCGCCTCGGTATGTGGGATCCTTGATCGATGCTCTCATCTCCATTTTCTGAAAACCAGCAGCGCTTGATAGTTTCCAATGAAACAGTGATCCCAGAACAATTACCCTTTCCTAAAGTAATTTTTGAAGTAACAGGCTTTTGGAGATGGAGCTGAATAGTTTTCTATCTCATCTCTTCGGCTTTTCGCCTTTGGTTACATTATGTAGAAATTCATTAAAATATGGGCAAAAAACCTCTTCTTTTCTAAGAAAGAAATCGCCGAAGAGAGGCGCTATATTTTCGACACTTATATACAAGATGGTTATATCCGAGAGAAGCCTTGGAAGATATAGTACGGATGCTGTTAGTTACTGTTTTTATTCTTAGACTTGCGAGGTATTTCAAAAGTTGCTGCATAGTTCGAATTCGAGTACAATATATTATAGAAGTACTGCAAAAATTGTTATAGCAGACCTCACCGACCTCTTTGAAATCCCTAGTCAGTGGTACACAGGGGTCCGTAGGTCGCACCACCCTTCACTTCTTCCCATCCTTCATTTCCAACACATCGCCAGCACCAAAACACGCCTTCAGGGTCATACTTGTGCTTCACAGACTTGAGCCAATTGTAGTTCTTTCCAAACCAATTCTCCTTCCATTGGGGATCAAATCCATCAGCTTCATTCAGATACGTTCCCATGCCGGGGGTCAGATCCTCCATTGCCTTTAGCTTCTTGTAGGTAGCCTTGTTCTTGACTTCCTGGACTCCTTGCGAGCCTGCATTGAGAGGATAGAGATCGACATGCGTCAAGAGAGCATAGGTCTTGCGCCATGCTGGGTTGACAGATGTGAATGGTTCCTGGTGAAGGACTCGTCCACCACCATCGAGAGACAGCGACAGTCCAGATCCAGAGGGACGGGCCCCTGGGCCTGTCTCGATAAACAGAGTGGAAAGCATATTAGATAAGCTTTCCTGCTGGGAGACAAGTGAGTTCTTGTCGAAGAATCGAGAGATCATAAGGAGATCATCTCCAGCCTGGGCTGCGTGACTTTTAGAGCCGAAGTATCCTTGGAACGTCGGGTAATGACTGAAGGAGGAGGAGACGTAAAGGGTTGTCTCGTTGTACGGAAGCAGATCATTCACGAGGTGCTTGTTCACAAACTCCTTAGTGCTCTCAATGGTGCTGGAAGAGTTGTTGTCGAGGAGCATGATAAAGGTGTGTGCGTAGAGTGTTTTCCCTTTCATATTGAGCAACTCCCCGATACCTCCGAACCCTTGGTCCGAAAGAATAGGATATTTCGATAAAACGTTCCCTGTGGCATTCACGAGATCCCTCAAGTTGCCCTTCGTTGGAGTCATGAGTAAAGTATGCGCGAGGACTGGACGCGTAGGATGTGCTTTGATTGTAGCGGATACGACAACACCGTAAGTACCACCACCTCCTCCACGCAGGGCAGTGAATAAGTCGGGGTATTGGCATGGGCTTGTTTTCACAACCTTTCCTGATGCCAAGACGACTACGTATTCGAGGACCTGATCGGTCGCCAATCCAAAGGCGTGGCTAGTCGGGCCATGACCGGCGCCCTGGATATATCCTCCAATAACCCCAACAGTCTGTGTTATCGTTAGCCTGTCTTCTAGCCATGGCTTTAAAATGAATGCTTCCTTACGCTATCATCACCTCCGACAGCGATAGAGTTGTGCTTGGCTGCAAAGTCATATACGTCTCCCCAAATGTATCCACCACCGACGGTGATGGCACCTCCAGTCCAATTTGCTGGACAAGAATGGTTTGACGGAGTATAACGGCCTTGGTAAGATAGCCCGTCCTGGATGTATTTGATCCAAATCATCAGACTGCCATATCCTTGAGATCTGCCCAAGAGAACGTTAGCACATGAGGCAAACTCCAGATCGACAGGAACCAAATTCTCGTACCTTTGGACGATATCGTGGCCGGTGTTTTTAATCACCAGCCGCAAATTATTCTCTTTGGCGAATCTGATGCCGGTTGAGACATCACTTGTTTTGGTTGCATTGATCGTGTATACTGGAACGGCACCCAGTTGGCAGAGAGGGTAAGCGGCGATCGAGGCATTGATCGGAGGACAGGTCACAGCAACTGGATAGGTATAGCCGACTGGTTGGGCCTCTTGGAACTTTGAACTCGTCCATTCCTGGCTGATATCTTGACATAGCTCTGCATCCTGGCCCGGGCCGGGATAACATGGTTGAGCAATGGGCTGATTGGCTATAAGTTGACCATCAACGGATACATTAAGGGCATTCCATTTAGAAAACGAAGGCCAACATTCGTCAGTTGGGGTCTATTCAAATCCTGTCAGTTTCCAAGATGTTATAACTCAAGTTGTAGAAGACATACACATTTACAAGTAGCAAAAGCGGACTGGGCTCCAGCAAGGAGCAAAAGACCCTTGAATAACATGATTGATGAGCGTGTTGAATCATCAACTACAGTATGGAATCAATGACTTATATACAATTTCATTTTCCATGCCTTAGGGTTTAGTTACTACCTGAGCCGATCGTCAGTAGGATGCGCAATTATTTTCCGCTCTCCGCCAACGATGATACTTAAGGCCGCGAGCTTAGCCCCATTAGTGGGGCACAGCAGAAGGTGGAGTTTCCATGTCTATTTCTTCATATATTTTCATATATTGATGCGGTTTGGGCTGACTTGATTCTTACGCATGAGGTCATAAAAGCTGAATGCCCGGGGCTGTGGTAGTGCGCAACGAGCGCGCACTAGAAATATAAGCCGCTTTGTGGGGGCCAACTCGGTTATTTCAAATCACGGGTCCCTCGGCATTGGATTTCCTTAGATTAGTTCAGCGTAAATTCCTGCATCCTGTGGTGAGGCAAGTTGAAGTCAACGAGAATACTAAATATGGAGAGGGACGAAGAAAGGAATGAGAAGTCCCGAGAGATTAAATAGCAGGCCTGGCACCAATCAAAAACTCACACTATACAACATAGCAAATGGATCAAGGCAAACAGTATATATGCAATGTCACACATCCCTTGTAGACCTCTTTGTATGAATTGCTTTTGAAGTAAACATAGTGAAAGCAAGACTTTCCTTTGGCATCACTCTTCCGTTCTACGCTGGCTAATTTATTACCATGACTTGAAGGCAGTCTTGTTGGTAAAATCTGTTGTATTATCTCAAGCAAGTTGTAGGTATATCAGTGTCGACTCATGAACTACTGCAGCTAGAGCTAAATCCCATCACATTTGACATCTGAGGCAGAATCTTGTTGAAGAGTATTGTTAAGCTCTTCATTTGGAACAGTGGTATTGTTCTGCTGCACCATGCTTTCAAATTGAGCCTTTGATTTTTCAGCCTCCTCTTCGGTAGGCAGGTTGACAACCGCAAGGTATAAGACGTTCTTCAAGAAAACTTTCTTGAGGTGATTTCTTCCTGTGCTAGGGACTAGTCGGCCGTCTTGCGAATCCGCTGGTTTACCAAGAAGATGATTGGCCCCTAACGCTTTATTCCACTTAGCAAGTAACTTGCCAGGACCCGGTAGAGGAACAAGACCGCCGGTGACGAGAGAAATTATCGATCCGCTGTTCACGGGATGATCTGGATCGTTAAAGCGTGACTTCATTGGTTTCCGCTGCTCAGAAGGCACTACCATTGGCGATCCAGGGTGTTTTGCTTCCTTTTTTTCCATCTTGTTAGCATGTTATAACAAGACTGGGGATAATAACACACATAAAACACCATCGCCCTTCTATCCATATAGTCATTGACCCACTCTCCGGCGTCTTTGAACTTTTCGAGAATTCCTTGTGATTGCTCTTCAATGTATCCACCTGCAATAATCCGATCCAACTGGGGGTAGATTAGGCTCGCAGTTTCCGGCAATTCGAGCTCAGAACTTGTCTCGCCGCTCTCCACTCGGATATTGTCCAGTTTCTTTCCGAAGTTCGACCTGTTTATATCAGGGTTGCTCCATTTCATGGCTGCCTTATTCAAGTCTACTTTGTCCTTTTTAAAGATGCTTTTCTTGAGCGAGCTGGTGGCTTTAGCCAGTGGTCCCTGTTGTGCAGGATCATCTGGTTTGAATGCGATAACCATAACAAATAGCCCACGAGGCATGAACAAATCACGGTTGACCATCTCAAGAAAGGTATTTGCACGAGTTCGTTTTTGTAATTCGCGAGCAGTGCCGGCAATCACAGAGAGGACCATGCCTACAGCCATAGCGGCCGGGAATGGGAGAGATGATGTGATTTGAGCGGCGATGAAAACCACTTCAATCCAAGCAGAGGCCTATATAAAGTGTGAGTGCTTGGAATCTCAGGGAAATGGTAGCTTGTACGAACATGATTAACGACATCTAGGTATTCCAAGAATTGTAAAAAGACTTCTTGGTCGATACCGCAGTCCTGGAGAATGGGTGCATATGCACGTACGAATCCGCGGTCCTTGTTTCTAGGACGGCGCTGAGGAATAATGACAGGACATGGAAGTCGCTGTAGATTTTCGGGAGGGGGCCCCGCCATCTCAACTAGCTCACGAGCCAATGCTTCCCTCTGCTTGAGCTTTCTTTCCTCTTCGTCCTCCGTCTCATCATACGAGTCGGTCAGAGTGTCGTCGTATGGAAGTGCATACAAGTCTTCGCCGGAATTTGACTGTCTCAACCGCTCGATCATATCATCAAGCTGCCACGACAACTCGTCCTGGTTGGCATAAGCCACATGATCTGACCAGGAGTCTGATCCGACGTCAGCAATGACTGTCTGCCCCCGAGGGACAGTGTCATTCTCTGGGTAGTCTGATGAGCACGGTGGAAAAGTGCTGTCCGTGGCAGCTGGCTTGGCAGAGTTGGGGTTCTCGAAGTTTTCTAGCGAGGATTCGCTGGGAGGAATGGCTTTAGGTTGATCTCTCGACGAGGGTCGATCTCGAACTGCATGGATTGCTTCTGACGCAAAGCCAAGACCCGTTCGAAGGGCTTTGACAAGAAAAACCATGTTGGCTTGCCCTTCTGGTAAATGTAGTAGGATGGAAAGGGCAGGATGGAAAGAGTAGGATGGAAAGGGAGCCGAAATTCTCTTGACATCAGGAACTCCAATTTATCTACTTGTCACAGTCCCCCTTTGGTTTTTGATTCGTCGCTTACGAAAATTTATTAAATTTGAAATACATGCAAGTAAGCAATTTTTTGCCGCGTCTAAGCACAGAGGAGTGGGATAGATCTGCGGTTTGCAGGTACAACATAGGGCTAAGACAAAGCTACGTTATCGTTGCCAAAACAACATACTCCGTACCATATGCCCATATGCATATGGATAATCAAGCCAACTATTAGTAGTAAAATCTATTGGTGATCTGCGCGTATTATCTCATGGGAATAGGAGAGTATGTCGAATGACACTTTGGTTGTGGCATTTTCGCCTTGGAAAAGTTGCGCTCGTCGCGCATTTTCTTGTCGCGGGATCGACGACACGCCCCCACGGGAAACATTTGTCAGTTGCGCGCTCGTTGCGCACTACTTCTCTGCCGGGGAAAGTCAGAATGGATCTACAGCTAGTCCGGTGTTCGTAATCCAGTGGAGACCAGCTTGCTTTACTCACTCTATACCCAAAAATGTTTGATTCGGTGCCCATGTTTCCCTTGTCACAATCATGTCACAGCAGGAATTTGAATTCTATACGTTACATGGAAGCAGAAATTGAATGATTATGCACATATTATCTTATAGAAATGGGATACTCCCAGGATCAACATCGGTGTTCTGGCCTTCAATCCAGTTATAAAGCTCCAGTGGGTTGGGAAGCGGGTCGAATCCTCCAAGATAAGGCCACATATTCCATGCTTCAGTTGACGTAGTCAAGTCAAAGAAAGTGCCTTCACTCATGTCTGAGTACATGGGCGAAAATCCCACCCCTGCCTCTCCTGCCTCTCCTGCCTGTCTCTCCTCTCCGTGCTGACTCTCCTGTCCCTCAATTCGCCTCGAAAGGTTTTCTTTCGCCGTTTTCATCACCTGACAAAAGCCCGATATTATTTTACTGCCCACGGCATAGACACAGCCATTAGCAAAGGCCACGTCGGTTGATGTCCACGGCGCGGCAACCATAGAATCAAATCGCTGTGCGCATATGGTAAACAGCTCGAGCTGTTTCTCAAATTCGGGGTTCAATCGTCCAAAACACTTCACCTGCACAAGGTTGTTTTCAACAACATTTTTGCAATGTGTGAGAACCTCCAGAGCAAGATGTTGAAGTGGAGGGCGAAAGCTTGTGCCAGCAAGCCTCAAATCCGTGCACCCGATGAAGATCTCCAAAAGACTTGTTAGCCTTTTGGGAAACTTGATTCCAAGCTGACTCAATGCCATAGCAAATGGTTCTGCTGCGCCTGCGATCATATCTTCTGTGCTTCCTCCGACTTGGTCACTGATTTGAATTGCTTCATGGCTCTCAATCTCGTGGTCCCATTTCAGTCCGCCTTCCAAAGACCTTACTTTAAGAACCGAGGCATATAAAAGCCCAAGGCCCCATATCCTAGCGATAATAGAATTGAGCCTGAGCTCTAAGATGGAGCGAGCAGCCTCTATCTCTTGCGAATCAAACATGCCCGATGATTTCTCCAATAAGACACCACTTGTTTTCAGTTGCTCAACGCATCTCCTCTCAGCCTCTTCAATCTCCCCAAACAGCGATCCGGGATTGTTCCATCTTTCTTTTAAATTTGCCACAGCGTTCAATAGAACGCAGACGGACATGGCCCAATTTATGTGGAAGATAGTTCTTGGTGAGCACTGCCGATATTTCAAAACAACCTGGTACACATCGACAACAGGCGTCATCTTCGCAAGAGCTTTTCGTAAAGCATAATGTGATTTTGCAAGGTAGCCATCCAGGAATGTGTCATAATGCAAAAGCTGCAAGCGCTCTACCGTTCGACTAAAGCCAAAATCGAACTGGGCACCATCCACAATATACAACTCAGATGGGAGTGTACCTCCTTGTTCCGAATTTTCTTCAAGTCGTTCTGCCATCCTTTGAGCTAGATGAACAAACATTTCAGACTTAATGGCACGATGTAAGACCCTTTGTGTCGTAGCTAAAGCTGTGGGTTTGTAGTCTGCTAAAAATAGGCAAACCACGACCGTGTCATGGTGCGTTGGTGGCGAAAATATAAATTCTTGGCCGACGGATGCCACGGCAAGGCGTAGACTCGATCTCAAAGAGGGGCGGCTTTTGGCTAAGGCCTCGTCAATGTCTAGAGCAGTCAAGCAGAGCAGCGCGAAGAGCAGCTTGGTTGCAGAATTGATCGACGTGAAGTCATTCGAGAGTAGGCGGCTTCTAAGTTCTACCAATCTTGGCATTGAAGGATGAAAAAAGCGATGCCAAGTCAAACTATCCTAGCTAATTAGGCAAGGGGAGAGATGTCGGATCATGTGGACTCACCTCTTCTCAAGCGACTCCGCAGTGTCGTTGTCAATGAGCTCTGTAAGAGACGCGTCCCAACACGAAGGGGGTTGAGCTATATCAATCCCAAATGCTTGATCTTTGGACAAGATTGATGAGAGAAAAAAATGGGGCTCTATCATCGATTTGAAACGCTCTTCTCTAGTCGGACGCGGAGCTAATTTCGTTCGCAACTCCTTCTGCCAATCGGGACCAATCTCCGCTGCATCGGAGAATAGATGATCTTGTATATCCTCGCTGGAAAGCGTAGAAGTGATAGGCCCATTAATTACGGTATCATTCTCTTGAGCCGCCATGCCACGAAGGCGCTTCGCTGCGGGGCGTCCTAAAAAGGTACGCTCAACAATGCATTCCAGGTCTAGATTGCGACATCGTTCACAAGCCTTTTCTTGAGGTTGCGGAACACCCAAGGGACCGAGATCATCCCGGTTCTGCATGATGCATTTAATCTTTCTTGAGCGACAGCCGCGACATATTGTGCGGGCATATCTTCCCCTTGGACCTCTCTCGGCTTTTTGATTTTGCATTTCTTAATGAAAGAAAGAGAAGATCCAATAGTAGTAGGTGGAGTATTTAGTGCACAACTCTCAAGCAGCCAGGTTGGTGGTCATAGATATTCGATAACGCGGCGTACGACATATGTTGTAGTGTCAAGCTCAGCTCGGTCTTGGCACCACCGCCACCTTGTGTACGACTAGACCCTGTTTGGAAAGCAGATTGACACCTTACTTGATTAGGATGTAATTCATTTCAAAAACCTCGATTTGTGCTGAGATCGCCCTCTGCATATTGTACGTGGCATCTATAAAAGAATTTGCGCGATGAAATTCTCGCTGGTTTATGCTATTATTGCATCCCATGCTATCATTCAGTCTATCCACAATGATCCTGGGACAATGATTGGCAGTTAAACTTCCTGTCAATCTACTTTCTGAGATGGCTTAGTGTAATTCTCATACTACTAGCTTGGATTGTTGTACAATATCATATGTAATCAATCATATGATAGTTAAGGCATTCTCAAGGATATTAATTAAGGCGTCTATCCCGATATTAGAAAACTACCAACAAGTTTCATCGGCATATTCATCAATCTCAACTGTTTCATATCACCGAACAATTCTATCCACCGTCTCCAATTGCATCGCGCCCTTTCTCAATATGTCGTACCCCAAAAGTGAATACAGCAACCCTCACCCAGAGGGCTACTCTTGTGCCCAAGTTGAGAGATCAAGCTCATGTCTCCAGGTGAGTTATTGTCTGCAATATGATCTGCTCTATACGATAGACCAAAATCGTCGAAAGATCAGTTGAAACCGAAGAAATCGTCAATACTGAACCTCGAACTATATAGCAGCGGGACTCCTACAGTGGACAACACTCTAGCAATGGCCATGGAGCCTTCTCTCCCTGCGCTGGCACAAGCTCATGTCACTGCGGATCTGCACAATATACTCCTCCACATGATGGAGCGGATTCGAGTCATACATCTGAGAACAGAGATAGTGAGAAGGGCCTCGGGTCTACCATCGCAGGGTTATTAGTCACAGTTCTCGCAAAAGGGCACTAACACTTAAGCTTGTAGGATTGATATCATTCACATTGCGGTGGCACGAAAGGTCTGGAGCTCCTAGGAAGTCCTCTCGGACTTCAGCTAGGATGAGGTACTTTCTGATTGCTAGTTTGGATATGTTGGGCAAGTGAGGGGTCACAAATTTCGTCATGGGCAGCTAGATCACCCAGTAGACATAATCGATTGGTTTAGAATATTTTTGCGGATGCCCAGATCGCTAGAGCTGAAGTGGTATTCCTAGGAGCAAGCGGGCAGGCAACAAGAGCGATAAACTAGTGTTATTCAAGCAGAAAATGAAAATGAAAAATGAATAATATGAATAAAACACTAAACTGGATTTTCAAACCACTTAATTGGGGGATTCTGAGATATTCCTAGATATTGTAGAACCAAAAATTGAGGGCTGGATATTTTCAGCAACTATATGGAGACGGTCTTCTAGAATGCGAGACTCGGCGAGTTGAATAGCCGCAGAATAGTAAAACCAATAAATGTACCCCGCTATCATTTTACCTCTCAGCTGGAGGCGGAATAACCAGGATCGACCGCCAAATTGATGACGCCAGCCTTTCGTTGAGGGAACAATGGTCAAAAATCCTTGTGAACAACTGCATTTAGATGGGATGGGGCTAGCGTGGTGTATTTTATTGAGGTGAGCTGCTGACTTAGCTGCTCCCTGCGCTTGGGAATTGATACGTGCACACCAACTTACATAATCCTGCACACCAGTTTACATAATCATGTGATTATATAATATAATTGTCATGTGACTATCAACCTCATCTATCAATCACCTATAACTAGCAAACATAGTAGCAAATAGCAAACATAGTCAGCTATATAAACCCCCTCCCTACCCCCTCTCTTTCTTCCTCTTATTTCTCCTCTCTGCATATATCTGCATCTCTGAATCTCTATTTCATCACCTGACCTACCAAACCCTGCAAAATGGCTGATATTACTGCTATTTCTACCGATCTGACCTCTGTGTCCATGGGTAAGCTTTTTTACCTGCTTTTTACCTGCTTTTTATACTAATTTTATACTAGATTTGCTCCCTCCCCCGGAAGCGGTGTACGATACACGTGAGGAACTGCTTGAAGCGGTGAAACAGCATGCCCTCTCGCAGGGGTATTGCACTGCTATTAAAAGCGGTAACCCTATCAGAAACGTGGCTATCCACTGCGTCGAATCAGGTGAACCGAGATGGGACCAAAAGCCTACTATTGGCCCTAATCCTCGAATTAAAAGCTCAAAAAGGAAAGGTTGCCCTTTTTTACTATATGGAAGTGTAAAAAAGGGCAAATGGCACCTCCAAATCCGGAATCCAGATCATAATCACCCTGCTAATCCTCCAATAGTTTACCCCCAGGCACGGAAATTTACATCGAATCAGATTGATAAGATTCAAGAGCTATCAGATATAGCTATCGCCCCCCGGAAGATCTTACAAACTATCCGAAGCCAGTCCTCCCAGCCAATTAGAGGGCGCGATATTTACAATCAAATCGCCTTAATAAGGCGCGAAGAGAGGGGTTATCAATCCGAAACTGAGTATTTAATCACTCAGCTTAATCAAAAGCGGTATAAGTATCGAATTAAGCTTTCATCTAATAATAAAATTGAATTACTAGCGCTTGCTCACCCCGCTGCACTACTATTAGCTAATAAATATAATAGGGTTTTTATATTAGATTGCACCTATAAAACTAATCGATATCAAATGCCTTTTTTGGAGGTTATTGGTATTACTCCGACGAATCAAAGCTTCTTATTTGCTGTTTGCTTTATGCAAAATGAGCAAACGGAGGGCTATCAATGGGCCCTTGAAACCTTATTTCAACAATGGCTAAGTTTACCACAGAATTCAGTGCTTATTACTGACCGTGATCTTGCTTTTTTAGGAGCTATTAATGCTGTTCTTCCTAATCATGCTCATTTACTCTGTATTTGGCATATTAATAAAGCTGTTTTAGCAAAGGCTAAGTCTTTTATAGCTATATCAGATTCGGATAAATCAAAAAAAGCGGAATTTGATGATTTCATGAAGCAATGGTATGAATTATGCCAATCAAATACTAAAGATGAGTATACTTTAAGGTTAAATAACCTTAAAACCCAGTTTCAACATTACCCTAGTTTAATCCTTTATTTAATAGATATTTGGCTAATTTATAAAGAGAAATTCATCCGATTTTGGATCCAATATACTACCCATTTTGGAAATTTAGCATCCTCACGCTCAGAAGGAGCACACGTACAGCTAAAAAGGGAGCTAAATGGTTCAAATGGAGACCTTTTTACAGTATTTCTAGCTGTGGATAGGGTTATCGATCAGCAGCAAGATGATATCCAAGATAAGATCGAATCTGATAAGTGCTCTATTCCAAAAATAGCTGCTATAAATCGGTTATATGATCTAATTCGTGGATTTATATCTAATTATTCTATTAGATTAATTCATCGGCAGCGCGAATTAGCCCTACAAATAGGCCCAATTGGGGAATGTTCCGGTTATTTCACTCGCTCAATGGGGCTTCCGTGTAAGCATCGACTATTTAATCTTATCAGATTAAATCAGTCAATTCCATTAGATGAAATCGACCCGTTTTAGCATATAAAGCCTACTCTAGGCACCCAATCGGTTATAATCTTACCTCCCGATATACCACAAAAGGCAAAAAAGGGAGGGAAAAGGGGGCCAGATTGCCTAATTAGGAAGGAGGAGGGCCCAAAGAGGAAGCAAAAGGCGCCAGCTAGGTGCTCGGGGTGCGGGGAGGCCAACCATACGTTTAGAAGCTGCCCAATGCGGAAGAACTGAGGCTTTTTATACGATATTGATCTGATAGCAATATTAATCTGATAGATGAGGTTGATAGTCACATGACAATTATATTATATAATCACATGATTATGTAAACTGGTGTGCAGGATTATGTAAGTTGGTGTGCACGTATCAATTCCCCCTGCGCTTCTTGAGCTTATGTAATAATCAGGTCAAGCTCAGTAAGATCGGGCCACTCAGTGAGCAAATCAGAGCGCTCAGGTGACGCTCAGTGAGCGAGTCATCCAGCTTATGTAACGATCAGGTGATGCTCAGTGAGCGAGCGTGGTGATATGTAATGCTCAGGGGCGTGCTCACTTCTACTCAGTGAGCAAAAAGCGGCAAGGCCTGAGCACTAAAACTGAAAGGGAAAGCCAAGAAGTGGCAGAGGAAATCAAGTACATAGGTTGACAAGACTCGAACTTAGAGTCATCCGAAGCTTGAATATTCAGTGCCGCAAGGAGTTACATGGTAATTTTATAATCCTAAGTTTGTGTTACCTACTATGTGAGTCTAGGTGTAAATAGTGATCACCTACTTATATGTAGGTATGCACTCCAGGGCTGATACATGAATGAGTCTTTATAAGCACACAGGAAGTGACCTCGGGAGTCCACCTGTGGGTCTATTTAGACGGTCTCGACACGATGCTTAGTGAGCGTGTCCTTGGAGACCTCGGGAAGTGACAACTTTAATAATAGGAAAATCCTATACACGAATGAATGGCTTTAGCTTTGAGTGATTATAATACACCCGCGGTGCTATAGGATGTACCGTTGAATTTGTTACGAGATTATTTAAATGTGGCGTAAATATACACTATAATTGTGGCAAGCCCCCTAACACAGACCCTGTGTGGTGGGCACCACCGGATAGCAAATTTACACCAGATAGCAAATTGTGAAACTAAGTATCTTTTATATGGTAACATCATACAAAGGTATCTACACATCGTATATCGAAGAATCCGTTTTTCTCAACATTCAAACTAGCTTAAGCGATAATTGAAAAAACAAAGATCTAATATAACTAGGTCAGTTTTAATTGATGTACTAGGAAGATTGATTTTAAATACATGATATAGAGGTGGAAAGGACATCTGAAAAATCCTAAAAAAATCCCATATCAACGATATGTGCCAAAGTTCACCTATTCCATAACTACTTTAACCATAACTAGTTAACAATTATTCCTAACTACTCTTATGTATCTTCCTATATTCTCCCTAACTAACTAGTCTAAGAGTTAAGAAAACCGAGATTATGATTATACTATAAGTAGGTACCCTTTGTGTGTACTCACCATATATTAGACATTTAATTTCACAAGTTACTATCCGGTGTAAATTTGCTATCCGGTGGTGCCCACCAACCCGGGGTGTGTGTCGGTGGGCTTGCCACGATTAACGAGATCTACGCAGATCTTGCGCCAGCCAACTACAAGGCCTGAAATGATGATGACATCACTACCCGTTTACATAGGACTGTGAACAAAGGATCGAATGTTTTGAGAACCCTTATTTTGAAGACAAAGATAATATATGGTATAGAACAGTTTTGTATATCTATAGAAGATATCATTATCAATTGAAGTTGAGGTGGACTTATGACTCAGACCCCACGGGCAAGCTCCGATGTCGGTTCCAAGACATTGAAGTAAAATGCACACACAGGGCTGTTTCAACCAGGAAATTCGGGGGAGAGAGGAATTGGAAGTGATAGACATTTGAGTCATAGTAGAATGTGCAGTACCTTTGTTAGAATGCAGGATGCAAGATCCTATCATACACCTTGGACAACTCCCCCACCTCTCCACAATCAAAAATTTCTTTTTTTGCCGCCCAGAGGGGGAGGGGGGCGTCCCATTACTGAGCTCACCGCCCACTACTTCGGCGTATGCATTTATGACTCTTTCCGTCTCTTTTTTTTCAAGGTTTCTTACTACAAAGATCTTAAGTACCGCTCGATTTTCCTTTGAATTTCGATCTTTAACCTTTATTCTTAACTTTTGGGCTTCGTATTTCCAACCCATCTCGACCCTACATACTCAACCATCTGCACCATGTGTACCGGTGCCGACTCCGAGCCCAATGGGCAAGCTAATGCTGTTGCTCCCAGTATGTCAATTGACAACTATTATACTAGAATTGCTCACTGACCTCTATTTAGATGGCGACCACTCTGGTTACGTTGGCATTGAAACTCGCCAGAACCCCCACCCCTCCGCATCCCGCAACCCCTACGGCCACGACGCTGGCGTCACCGATTTCCTGAGCAATGTCTCCCGCTTCAAGATTATTGAGTCTACTTTGCGTGAGGGAGAACAGTTTGCCAACGCTTTCTTCGATACTGCCAAGAAGATTGAGATTGCCAAGGCTCTCGATGACTTCGGTGTTGACTACGTGAGTCGCCGGAAGAGTTTATGAATACAAAGTAGAGGCTAACCATAATCATGCTATAGATTGAGCTCACCAGTCCCTGCGCTTCTGAGCAGTCCCGTGCGGATTGCGAGGCCATTTGCAAGCTCGGTCTGAAGGCCAAGGTACGTTAGGGTTTTGCCCGGGTCTCGTGACTATATCTAATACCGTCTTCTAGATTCTTACTCACATTCGCTGCCACATGGATGATGCCCGTATTGCTGTCGAGACCGGTGTTGATGGAGTGTGAGTCGTGTATCTTGTCCTTGTTTTATTGACTCAGAACTGACTTTATGTAGTGATGTTGTTATCGGTACTTCCTCTTATCTCCGTGAGCACTCTCACGGCAAGGATATGACTTACATTAAGAACGCCGCCATTGAAGTTATCGAGTTCGTCAAGTCCAAGGGCATTGAGATCCGTTTCTCCAGTGAGGACTCTTTCCGTTCCGACCTGGTTGACCTTCTGTCAATCTACTCCGCTGTGGACAAGGTTGGCGTGAACCGTGTCGGTATTGCCGACACCGTTGGCTGCGCTTCCCCCCGTCAGGTTTACGAGCTCGTCCGCGTTCTGCGCGGTGTTGTTGGCTGTGATATCGAGACTCACTTCCACAACGATACCGGTTGTGCCATTGCCAATGCCTTCTGTGCCCTCGAGGCCGGTGCCACTCACATCGATACCTCCGTTCTCGGTATCGGCGAGCGTAACGGTATCACCCCCCTCGGTGGTCTGATGGCTCGCATGATGGTCGCCGACCGTGACTACGTTAAGAGCAAGTACAAGCTCGAGAAGCTCAAGGAGATTGAGGATCTCGTCGCCGAGGCCGTTGAGGTCAACATTCCCTTCAACAACTACATCACTGGTTTCTGTGCCTTCACCCACAAGGCTGGCATCCACGCCAAGGCTATCCTCAACAACCCCAGCACTTACGAGATTATCAACCCCGCCGACTTCGGCATGACCCGTTACGTCCACTTCGCCTCCCGTCTGACCGGCTGGAACGCCATCAAGTCGCGTGCCCAGCAGCTCAAGCTTGAGATGACTGACGCTCAATACAAGGAGTGCACCGCCAAGATCAAGGCCATGGCTGACATTCGTCCCATTGCCGTCGATGATGCCGACAGTATTATCCGTGCCTACCACCGTAACCTGAAGTCCGGCGAGAATAAGCCCCTTCTTGACCTTACTGCTGAGGAGCAAGCCGCATTCGCTGCCAAGGAGAAGGAGCTCCTCGAGGCTCAGGCTGCCGGCCTTGTGGTATAGGCGATTTCCTTTTACCAATACATATATTGTATGATGCTATCTCACAGTGGCTTGTGCAAAATTCGGGCGTGGCGGAATACCTGATGATTTGATGCTTTTTCATTTGTTTTGACATTTTTTTCCATATAAGGGTTTGAAAAGTCTTCCTATTTTTTTTTTTTTTTTCTTTTCTTTTTCCTTTCGGGAGAGCCAAAAACACATTTGTGTTAGGAGAAGAGAGTTCTCCTTTGTTTGTACATTTAGCGCAGAAGAGGCAGTAACTTGTTCTTGACTTCAGATTGTGCATTTTATTGTAGTTGGAGTTGTAGTATGTAGGCAGTCTGGACCAATTACGTCAGTGGAGAAAGGCAGGACATAGTCCGTGAAGGGTTAATCTAGGGCGATACTTGTAAAGATATTATAATAATGAATATTACTCCATGTCTATCATTACGCCATTTCTATAAGATGTAAAAAGTTGATTCGGCTCCTGCTTCATGTGGCAGCCGAGGCCCGCTAAGACTGAATTAGTCAAAAGGTACTACTTTGAATGAAACCTCCCCATCGCCACTCCCACCCATCATCATTGCACTATTTCTAGGGGGAATCATGAGCTCTTCAATGCTTCCAGTCGCCCTGCAGAACAAGTTGGTCGGCTACAGCCGGGTGTCCAGCGCGCACTTATCTGCCCTGAACCTCCCAGACCTGTAAGTCAATTCCCCGTTCTCCGTTCCCCGCAGAATCAAGGTCAGAGCAAAATCCGAAAGGCAACTACTGACGCATTTTGATTTTTAACGCAGTGCTCGCAACATCGTATTTATCCTGTTCATCCTCCGGTATACCCGCAAGACCTTCTACTCCGTCCGCGGCTATGGCATTCTTGGCAGCATCCGTAACATCTACATCTCGCTCCGCCTGTTCTGCTACGGCATTTTCCTGCGCATCCCTGGTGTTCGCGGCCAGGTCGATAAGCAAGTGAGCACTGCTATCACAAACCTCGAGTCGAAGCTGGTCAACTCCGGGCCGGATGTTACACGGTATCTTACGCTGCCTAAGGAGGGTTGGTCGCCGGAGCAGGTCCGCGCTGAACTTGATAAGTTGGCTGGACTTGAACATACTCGCTGGGAAGATGGTCGTGTCAGTGGTGCTGTTTATCACGGAGGCGCGGAGCTGTTGAAACTGCAGGCAGAGGCCTTTGGGCAGTTTGGTGTCGCGAACCCAATCCATCCCGATGTCTTCCCTGGTGTTCGGAAGATGGAGGCTGAGGTGGTTGCTATGGTATGCATGATTGTTCCTATATCGGAGTACGGTCTTTGAAGGAGCTTTTCTGACGTCTAGTCTAGGTTCTCGCTCTCTTCAACGCCCCCCGGATGGCGCCGGTGTAACCACCAGCGGTGGTACGGAGTCTATTCTTATGGCTTGCTTGGCTGCCCGGCAAAAGGCATTCTTGGAGCGCGGTGTCACTGATCCCGAGATGTAAGTTGACTTCAAGATACTTTAGTATTCAGCAGTAGGACTGACCAATCATCGCAGGATTATCCCCGATACGGCACATGCGGCATTTATCAAAGCTTGCAACTACTTCAAGATCAAGCTACACCGAGTACCTTGCCCCGAGCCCGAGTTCAAGGTCGATGTGCATGCTGTTCGCCGTTTAATCAACCCCAATACCGTCCTTCTTGTCGGATCAGCACCCAACTTCCCCCACGGCATTGTTGATGATATCCCTGCTCTATCGCACCTAGCCACCAAGTACAAGATCCCTCTCCACGTTGACTGCTGCTTGGGATCTTTCGTTGTTGCACACCTCAAGAAGGCGGGCTTCCCCTCGCCCTACGAGGAAGAGGGTGGCTTTGACTTCCGCCAACCCGGTGTGACCAGTATCAGTGTCGACACCCACAAGTACGGTTTCGCGCCCAAGGGTAACTCGGTTCTGATCTACCGCAACAAATCATACCGAAACAACCAGTACTTCATCTATCCTGATTGGTCCGGCGGTGTTTATGCCTCTCCCTCCGTGGCGGGCTCCCGCCCTGGCGCTCTGATCGCTGGTTGCTGGGCCAGTCTGATGAGCGTCGGCGAAGCTGGATACATTAACAGCTGCACTGATATCATCAACGCGGCACGGAAATTCGACACCGCCGTTCGGACCGACGCGACCATCTCACTGCACATGGAGGTTATTGGTAACCCCATCGTCAGCGTCATCGCCTTCCGCAGCAAGAACGGTGCCATTGATATTTATGATATCGCTGATGATCTGTCTGCTAAGGGTTGGCACCTCAACGCCCTGCAATCTCCCCCGGCTATCCACTGTGCCTTCACCATTCCCACTGCCAAGGCTGTCGACCAGCTCATTGCTGATCTGACTGAAGTTATCGGCAAGGAGCTTGAGAAGGCCGAGCAGCGCAAACGCGAGGGCAAATCGTATATCCTCAAGCGAGGTGATACCTCTGCTCTGTACGGTGTGGCTGGCAGCATTCCCGATAAGAGCGTCGTCAGCCGTCTGGCAGAAGGGTTCTTAGACACTTTGTACAAAGCATGAGTCTAGGAATTGACATGTCGGTTTTCCTTGTTCGTGTCTTCCTTGCTCGGCCTGTCCTGGCTCCCAAGGCATAGTCCTGGTGTCTTCTAGTTGTCTTTACCTAAACTGCTGGTGCAGTGGCGTTATTATTATTCAGGTCCCTTCAAATCGCACATATTTGTTTCAAGTGTTGGATTCCACTAGACGGTAATAATGCATATAATACAATAGTTTGCCGGAAAGACATTTGCCCGATAGATGTGGACGTAAAGTACATGACCAAAAGAGAAAGAATAAAAAGCAACCCGCTCCATGCAAGCAAAGCCAAAACAGAATAAAGAGGACGCGATCGATCAGTCAATCAATCAATCGTCCGGCCGAGTGAAAGGCATTTCAAAAGACACAGATATCTCAGTCTTCAAGATCGGCAAAAGAAATCCAGTCTGAAAAGCACCATTTCACGCGAAGCTCAGTGACAACGATCACTGACCACGGAGCTCCACCCGCTGCTCAGTGCAGCTCTTTTCGGTATAATATCCGGGATCAGGCTTGCGCTCGAGGTGAACCTCCTGCTTCGTGAGGCGGTACTGGCACTCCTCGACCTGCACAAGTTCCTTGACTTTCATGATTTGACCCGCGACGGAGGGCGAGACGCTGTGGAAGACTGTTGCCATACGCTTTTTCAAGCCAAGGGCCTTGAGGACATCTGTTGAGCGGCGCGGGAGTCCAATTGCGGAGCGGACGAGGGTGATGCGGAAGTAGGACATGTTGAACTGTGGAGATCGAGAGGGTCTGATATTTGGATGTTTGTTCTTTTGGTACGGTTTCGAGGTTGTCCGGAGCCGTGGAATTGGACTCGGGATAGGTGGAACGGAATGCGGTGGATGTAGAAGGATACCGGAGTATCGATGGATAAGAATTTGCAGTCGATATCTGCAGCGCAATTGATCCTGTGATCCGGCGGAGAAAAGTCGCGGACTTGGAGATGATCGCGATCCGCAAATTCAATTGGAAGGCGGTATGTCACGTGTGTATTCTGCCGTGATTCGATGACAGCAGCGACGACAATCATCGGCGTGTGATAGCTGATATAGTATTTCACATTTTGAAAGCTGAGACTATGGGCTGCGCTTTTTTCGGCGTGACAGTACTTGGATTTATATCATAGATCGCTGCTGTGTCCTACCTTTCTGCAAGCAACGCCATATGCCCGCATTGTTAACACCTCACCCCTCGCCCTAGCTTCGAGCGATTGAACCGGAACAACGACACCACAGGATATCTGATAACGTACCGTAACCATGGCGCAACCCGGTAACATTGATACTACGGTCGCGCTGCCGCGACTCGAAGACCTCCTACGCCACCCGGAAGATCTAGATAAGATCAGCGGTCTAAAAGCGGAATATCTGCGGAAGAAGGCAGCAGTTGATTCACGATTGCGCGAAGGTCTGCGGGACCAGCTGGAGGCGGTGCAACGCAGCATTGGTGCTCTGACTGAGGGCCAGCGACAAGTCTCGAAAACAAAAGACGAGCTCCAGGGCATCGACAAGTTGTGCGCCGAGTCGCAGCATAGCGTGGAGGACTTTGCGCAGATTGATCAACTGGCGCGGATCCAACGACATTTTGATGCTACGCTTATGATGAAACGTGGGCTAGAGAATTTCGGCGCCGATATCCAGGAAGTGGAGGATTTTCTCAAAGAGGATGATGACGATATGGAGAATCAGCCTAATATTCTGCGGGCTCATATGCAGATCTCGCGGTTAAGGGATTTCCGCGATGAGGCTTTGGATCAGATTCGCAAGGCAGAGGATCAGAGCTCCGAAGAGACTCTAACGGAGTACTTTGAGGGGTTGGATTCTGTTATTGAGTGGTTTGATGATCACCTTGGCACGGCTTGCATGAATCTTATTCCCTTAGTGCAGGCGGACAACAAGAGCATGGTTGTGCGACTCGCTGTTGTTGTCTTTAACGAGGAGAAAAATGATGATACAGTCCGAGCGTTGCAAGAGGCCCAGAAAGACCACAAGGACCTCGCAAGTCGTTTCAAATCGATGAACATTGGTCCCAAGACTGTGCGGGGCTACAAAGACAAATTTATCCAAGCTATCGAGCTCTACGCCCAGGGCCAATTTGAAGAGACCCTCGAAACTTTTCTTGCAGATCCTGAGAATCTGGAAAAGAAATTCCGGTGGTACTTCAATGACCTATTCACGGTCAAGCAAGGCATGCAAAGCCTTGTCCCGAAGAAATGGAAGATATTCAAAACATACACCGATATCTATCATCACATGATGCATGACTTCCTGCTCAGCATGATCGATGACCCCGAGCTCCCAGCCGATAATCTGCTCAGCATCATCCATTGGAGCGACAAGTACTACAAGAAAATGAAGAAGCTGGGCTGGACATCGGCAGATCTCCAACCCAATATTCTCGACGACCGCGAGCCAGAACTAGTCCGAAAATGGCAGAACGTCATCATCAACGCCGTCGAAGAATGGATGGACCGGATTTTCAACGCAGACAAGAAGTCTCTCGTGGAACGTGTCCCAGATGCCCTAGACAACAACGCAGATGGCTACTTCCGCACCAAGACACTGGCCGACATGTGGCGCATGCTCCACGAACAAGTCATGGCATCAGGGGCATCAGACCGTGCAGACCTGGTAGAGGGCATCATCGACGCCATTTTCCGGGTCTTGAAGAACCGACAGGCTTCATGGCAGGCGCTCGTGGACGAAGAATGTGCGAAGCACCAAACAGAAGGCGCAGATCAAGAGGGTGTGCAGCTGCTGCAAGACTGGCTGATCGGCATAGCCAACGACCAAATCTCTTGCATCGACGACAATGAGGAGGGCAATCAGTTCGGCTACCTAACACGGTTCAAGGTCGATTTCGAGCCTATGGTTACACCCAAGTACATGGGCACTACGGCGACCATCGAGCTGGATGCACTGCGCGATGGTTATGTGGATCTGAGCACGCACTGCCTGGCGCAGTTCGTGAGCCTTGTCTTCTGGGTCGATCTGGACACTGTCCTGCCGGACTTCTACACGTCCCGCTGGTACGGCGAATTCGCCATGAAGCGTATCACCTCCACGTTTGAAGACTACATGGCGGACTACAATTCCGTGCTGCACCCATCTCTGGCTGAAATCCTAGTCGAGGAACTCTCGGATGAGCTGTTGGTGCGATACCTGTCCGCGGTCCGCAACAAGGGTGTTAAATTCCGTCGCCATGTCGACCCGTTCACAGACAAATTCAAGGACGATGTCCTCACCGTCTTTGCGTTCTTTGAGAAATACCCCGACTCATTCGAGGGTACTATCAAGCAGAAGTGGCGTCTGGTTGATTGGCTTGTTCGCCTTCTTTCTACTGAAAAGGGTCCCGCGCTTGTGGAGGTTTACGAAGCATTCAAGCTGGAGTACTGGGATCTGCAGCTTTCGTGGGTTGAGGCTGTGCTGCGCACCCGTGATGATTTCGAGCGCAGCATGCTTACCGCCATCAAGGCTAAGGCTGCCGAGCTGTCTGTTGAACGGGGACAGGAGACCATCATGAGTCGGTTGAGATGAATTCGTGATACTTGACCGTGTGACATTCTTTCTACCGCACTCGTGTTCCCGTTTCGTCTCAGCTCTATATGCACTTCACCACGCTCGGCCTTATCCATCTGACTGTCACAAGGCTCGGGTTGATGTACTAGCCGTCTGGCTTTCAGTTTTCCGTCAAATCCTGCAGACATGCCCCAGAAGAGGTCGTAGATCCTCTTTTCGTTGCTCAACCGACCCTGAGCTGCACTCTAGCGCGCAACTCACACCATGATGAGCAACCCCAACCACATGTACCATCCGCAACCCAAGCAGGCTTGGGATCTAGTCTACTCATTAATATCACTAGCACTACAGCAATGGATGCAGATATCTCCAACAATTTAATTTTCTCGTGAATATGACCAAGATAGAAATTATATTTACAAGGATTATCCCTAATTGATCATTTTCTGCTGGGCGGAAGGTTGTTACGCGGGGGCGTTATGTTCGACAAATGACGCGACGACATTCTTGGACTGAGACTCCGTTCCGCAATGACCGTATATTTCTCGCCAAGACGTTCATTCAAACCATGACGGTCGTCGACACCAGGATATAGTTTCTTGGCGCCCATTTCGCAGATACAGATAGTATCCAGAGGAATTTCCTTTGCCCAAACAAAAGGATAGCCCCGCGACGGCGGAAGAGAAGGGGCCGACTGGCTTCTGTGGGTGGAGGGAATAGTGTTTTTGTCGGGTGTTGGTGAAGATTTTGCACGGCAGGGTTCATTCTTGGTGTCTGCGGAAGATCCAGCAGGTGCTCGGTGTAAGATAGTTCGCTTGTCATCAGAGTAGTAATTACAATAATGTGATACAAGGTTGCGAGCATCAAATGTAAGGCGTTTGGATGAATTGTTGCCCTTGGCATCTTTGCTCTGGGCCTGTCGTCCACGAACGTAAATAGTATTGACAATAGTCGCGTGTAGGAGGAGTGGTCGCGGCTTTGGTTGTTGTGAAGACACATCACTAGAAATGGTAGTGGGTTCAGATTCCTGAGAACTGTCTTGGGCAAAGCGAATGGTGGGGGTTTTTTTTCCTGTTGGTTTTCTGTCGGGCTCACTTTGGATGAAGCCAGCCTCGATGAATTTGTCACGTAGCTTTACGCAAAATGGAAGCAAGCGGCCTGTAGGATCGACCGGGGAAGCATATAGGATGGTCGCCGACTTCCCCTGCGGCAAAGCATGTAATGACTCTAGAGAAACTGTCAGGGGCGATGATTGGCGAAGGGCGCTTTTTTGTTGTGTGCGAGCGGTGACTTGCTCCGCCTCGTTCATTATGTCTGCTAGGTCGAGGGACTGGAAAAAAGTAAGAGCTTGATCGAGACGCTCTTTATTGCTGAGACTCATCACTCCAAGAGTAAGGTGAAGTGTTCCCAGTGGACGAAAGGCTGTGCTGGGAAGACCCAGGCCGGGGGTGTCCCCATGGCCCCTAGAGGACGATTGAGAACTTGATCCAGGTTCAGCAAGATGAGCAGTTTTGAAGGCGGCGAGTGATGAGTCTAGCTGTGGCAGAGATCTGGTGTTTACAAGAGGGAGACAGAGAAAATGTGTCAATTGCGGCCGCTTTTGCCGCTTTTGTGGATGTGGTTTTCGGGGCTGATGTCTTGATAAGCTTGTGGTGTCCGTCATAATGCATCTGTATCTCCACGAATGTGACAGCAACATGAAATTAAATAAATGTTCACCCTAGCCAGTGGCCGAAATCGTCTGTGGAAGGTTGCTCTCAGGAAAACATCAGCCCTGGAGAAGCTCAGAAGTCAGAAGTCAGAAGTAAGCTGAATGCGCACGGACCAGGATCCACAACCTTGTATCAACTACATCAGAATTTATATATATCTCCCGAGATCTCAGCCCTCGGTGGCTTGAAATTTGCGTCTTCGGTTTCTCGCTAGTTAAGTGTTGCTGCTATAGCTTTGAAATTTATCTCACATGGATTTGATTATTTTTGCGTTGTGTCTGAGGCCAATCTAGTGATTGATCTTATTGATAGTCATGGGATTTGTTCGGTGCGACTGGTTTGAAGTCGGTGATTGAGCGTAAAGGGTGTGAGCTAAAGTGACATCTAGGTATCACAGCATGTCATCGTAAGCTCTACTAGCCAACAAGAATCGCCGTGATTAAATAACCGTAGTGTAATGATGAAAGTGACCCCATTCATTGGATTAACGGAATGCGACGAAGGGATTAAGGAAATGCACTTGGATGAAGAGGAAGAGGAGAGAAGAGAGAGAAACAGCACAATATTCCAGGAACAGAAAAAGTAGAAAGAGCGGTATAAAGCTAAGCTTATAAACCCATGGGTTCTATGTTAGTTGATGACGACTACCAACGTAAATAGAAGTCGAAATCATTCCCCCTTTTCCATTTGTCCATTTCGCTATATTTCAAATATTCGTTATGGGCAATCATGAAGTTCCACTCCGCAAAGATTAAATCCATATTACAATGGAATCGAACAACCCAGCATCACACCAAAGAGAAGGCCCTACCAGTCGATCATTTTCAAAAGATCCCACCCGAAATCCTCGAAATCCTCTTTACATGCCTTTGGGTTTCGGACCAAGTTTGCTTCGCGCTAACTTGCAAGTATATCTTCGCTTGCTACCAATCATTTCTTCGGGTGCGGAAAACAGGGGTTTATGAGCTCATGTGGCATGAACCAGTTTCAGAATTGCGTTTAGTCCGTCAGCTTCAGAATGCCCGTTGGCAATACTGCTGGTGGTGTTACAGACTCCATCCATACTCTAGAAAGCGCGCCTTTCTATATATGTGGGGGTACAGAGCACGGTGCCGTCCTGTTCGTGATATAGTTGGTCTTTCGATACCAGATATTTGATGGAACGATTACCTACATACCATTAGGCTAGCTACCACGATGGTATCTTCTTGCCTTGTCCTCCGTGACACCATGTTGTTCGCCGCAATTGGTAGACGGCAATGGGAGTAAGTGTCTCACTGAGTTGACTAGGGGCACTAAGCGGCGTTGGTCTAATATGCTAGATCGGGGGAGACAATGGAAATCGAGGAAGAGAACAGTGAATCGACTACCTAGATACCTAGATAGACAATGCGGTTGACTAAAACAGGACGAATGAAGGCAAACATCTTCCGCAAGTGAGATTATGCCTACTGTTGAGAGCATGTGCGAGACAACCTAAGGAATTCTATGTTTCTTCTTGCTGTTTGCTGATTTTGCAAGTGAGAAATACAGAATGGATAATGATCAATTTCGTTATTTTGCTCTTCGTCTCGAAGGGCGGTCATCAGTAGTAGCTCTACGTGCTCAATTCTCTGAAGGTCAAGTTGTATGGTCTTCAATTTCAGTATATGTACACTGACTGAGTGTCCCAATTCTGACTCTGTGCCTTGGCAGTTATCACCAGGTCATCCATCATATTCCATGATTTGCTCGGCGAGCTCCGCCATTGCCATGTCACCCTGTGAAGTATCCAGAATGCTCAAATGAAGAGCCCCCTGGATTTTCGGTATAACATGGGTAAACCATGAGAATGCTCGAAAAGTGCTGTCTTGGAGACGCTGCTGCTATCGCCTTTCCCCGCTGCTGGTAGTGATGGTGTTATTGCTTGCAGTTTTGGGTTTGAAGGCAGAAAGATGATTGGTCCCATAACAGACAGAGTTGCCAGATGTCCAAGTCCCAACGATTTTATGATGAAACTCACATGCTGCCACCATTAAACCCTTGAATGACGACCATAGTCATGCCCCAAACGACACTTCCAAGTTTGAGAAAATTGAGGGAATCGCTATTATCTCTGAAGGTCTGTCCTCAGATTCACCCAGCTGTTCACAACGCCGACTTTCCATGTCCTTAAGCCCGTTATCCAAATCGTTCATTGAAATCTTTACTGGAGCCGAGAACATGTTATCAGGAAAGGATCCACTCAGTCCCCCTACTGACCACCCAACCCATCCCAAGGAAGATCTTGCAAGCGACTGAGATAAGCTCCACTCTCCAGCCAACCTTGGGGACTCATTCCATTGTGCTTGTAGACCATCCTTGTGATGAGTGAGCCTAGCGAAATGGGACTGGTTTGTGGGAAGAGATTCAAACATGCTCGGGGAAAACGGATCTGGTCATGGTTACCCCAGTTTACAATGTTGAGGGTGGAATCTCACTCAGCCGAAATCAATTAGATGCCGAGTTGAGCAAAAGGCAGGGCGGAGTAACAAGCAAATCTAGGATATTCGGCAGATTTCGCCGGGGTGGCGGTTGGTATGGACCTGGAAACTCAACAAGCGTCGGCAAAAGCTGGTAAGGCCCGTCATCGCAGAACTCTATATAGCTATCCAAGGAGGCTGGTTTGGGGAGGTTGTCCGTTTGAGTTGGATTCAATCTCCATTCCATGTGTTGTCCGCTCAGGGACCTTACCTGAAGATGTAGGGGTGTGGGATTGTTCTGCGTTGTGACGGGATATTGGCGCACATAACTGAATCACAATCAAGCGGGAGTCGACACCATGAATATATGAACTCCTGACAAAAGCCAACAAGCGTCAGCAAAGCTGGTGAGACCTCGTCGCAGAACTCTATCTAACTATCTATGGAGGTTGATTTTGGGTGCAGTTGTGCTCAACCTCCTTTTCCATGTGTTGTTCGCTCAGGAATCTCACCTGAATATGTAATGTGTATTTCGGTCAATTTCTGGTAGTATCGACGGGAGGTGTCTGGGAAAACCCACAACTGTCAGCAAAGCTGGTGAGATCCCGTCGCAGCACGCTATCTAACTATCTATGCAGGCCAGTACCAGTGCAGCCAGCCTTCTTTCCATTTGTGTCCGCTAGGTAACCTCACCTGAACGTGTAGCGTGCGGATTTAATAAGTGGCCTGTCCGACGTTGGTGGTGATGTTGGTGATAATGGATATTGAGGTGCCGTTGGCCTGTGTAGTCCGTTCCCAGGATGCGGCCATATCTCATCAAGGCCCTGTTCGACGCCACAAAAAGGGCGAAAAATGTAGATCCCTAAAGGTGGAGGAGAGAGAAGTTTCCCTGTGTCAGTCAATGGACTGGTGAGGTCTTCCACTCGTTCTCGCGAGCCAAAAGAACCATGAGGTTAAAATATCGCTGGAGTTCTCACCTGGAAGGAAGATCGAACACCCCTGGTATAAATTGGAACTGCTCTCGGTTATAGAAATAAAACCCTTAAAAGCAGAGGAAGAACAGATTTCCCTGCGTCAGTTAATGGACTGGTGAGGTCTTCCACTCGTTCTCGCGAGCCAAAAGAACCATGAGGTTGAGATATCGCTGGAGTTCTCACCTGAATCACCATGGAGCGTTTCGTCATGATGTATCCATGCGCAGAAAAGGCATATTAAGCAGAGTCAACATGCATCACAAGCATGGACTGGGGCTTGGGCATCTATAATTGATTAGCTGGGCAACGGGAACGTAGAAGCATTGCTGTGGGTATGAGGTAATGACAATGATAGACACACTATGTAGGTATCAGGAAGTAGACATGATACCATAGTGCTATGGTGTCATGGCACCATGATGATACCAAGGCATGATGGGATGAAACTATGAAGTGGTGGGGTGGAAGTAAGAAGGGGGAGGGAAAGACAGACAACAAGGCAAGACGCGAAACAGCCAGACACGATACGACATAGAGGTGGAAGGAACAATAGTGGAAGGAACTAACTAGTCAACATAGTCTAGGTGACGCAACCAGCTATGGGTCACCAACAGTATCATAATATAGACGCGTCGTAGAGACACAGAAAAAGAGAGGGTGGTGGAAAGAAGATGGCCATGAAGCCATGAACGATGAACGAAAGTCCAATCCCTCTAGGAGGGGATGGAAAATTGGGGAAAGGTGGATGGAAGGGTGGAAGGAAGATGGATGTAGGAGGAAAGAAAAAAAAAGAGGATAGAAGAGAGGAAAGGAGGGTGTTCATATGTTGAGGCCGGAGACTGAAGCTGGGGGTTCCTTCCGTATTGGGAAAGTAGGGCTGTCTCAAATAGGGAAAGTAGCACCTTCCCGAAGCTAACATGAACTATATCTGGGTTCTAGAGACGGCTATTTTGAGGAGATGCGATGACGAAGTCCAGAAGTCAGTGTAAAATCCCCAGTATCTCGCATCATGAGATATCGATATCCACCTAGGTGTATTGATCCATTCCTGTAGAGTATTGTAGAGATATCCAGCTATCTGTAGCCATCTATGGAGGTGGGACATGGCATCTTCTGCAGAGGGAGGCAAAGTCTAAACGAGACCCCATGGACATGTTAGCCAGATAGACTTCAGTCCAGGACCCGTCTCACACACGTCCGACGAAGATATCGACGGAATACCTTGAGCCATACAAATCGTACTTAGTGAATGGTGATGCAGGTGTCCACGGGACTGTACGGCAGACAATGCCGTCAAACTAGACACTAGAAAAGACATCGGAGTATCCCAATATACATACATGACCTTTGTACCTAATGTCATCTCTATCGAGGGAACTGGGTGTTCAGATTATCAGAGGCCTACGTCGTCAAACCTTGGAAGGCAACGGCCAAATAAGCGGCAGACTACTAGCAGATAAATAGAGTATATGGATATGATGTGCCGCGTAGTCTTCATCAGATGGTGAGAATGATATTCAGCACAGATCAGTAAAGGTTAATACAAGTTTATAAGCGCTGGTAACTGAATTGCCTCCGCGGTATCATGCATTTTGGTAGACAAGGAGAGAACGCATAACATAGCAGGGTATCAAAGTAGCTCCAAATGCCGATTCATAGTAGAAAGAAAGTACATGTAGACAACACGGGAGCCCACGTCCTGGCATCCGCGGAAATGACACTCATGAAGACTCCTTCTTGCGACCCTCGACGACACGCATAATATCCGAGGCGCTATCTTTGTCACCCTTCCTTTTCTTGGGGCCACGCTTTCTCTTTTTCCCGCCTCGTTCGTCGTCGTCAAAGTCGAGCAGTGGACCATCGTCCTCCTCTCCGTCTTCGTTGCGACTTCCTCCGAATCCCATATCCATATCTGCAGCATCCATGGCCTCCTGGCGGCGTGCCTCTTCGATGAAGCGCTTGTGACGAAGGGTTGTCTCAGAAGACTGGTCTGTTTCGCCCTCTGCCGAGGGAGAACTCTGTCGGAGGGCTGCAGCTCGCTTGAGGGCAGCAAGAATGGTTGGATCTTTGGTGAGGGGGTTAGATCTGTCGACAGGCTCCTCTTCTGCTGTAGTCGAGGTCGCAACCGCAAAGTAGTTCTTGGGTTTCACAGGTGCTGTTTCAGAAGTGGCAGGCTTCTTCTCCTCGCTGACAGGAGCCTTTTCAGGTTTCTGAGTGGCCGAATCTGCTGATTCGTCATCCTCATCGGACGATGACTCGTCTTCGAGACCAGCGAGAGGATTGTAATCATCACCAACACCGGCAAAGATGTCTTCGTCGTCATCCTCGGGTACCACTTGTGCAGCAGCACGGGCAGCAATTTCAGCTGGGACTTCCATACCGAGGGGTGTGCGACTTTTATCGGGCATCATAAGGTCTCCTGCGGCAGGCACGGGCGCTTCAACCGGCTTATCAAGCCACCTAGTTTTCCTCTTCGTATTTCCTTGCGCATCAGTGATGAGGAGCACTTCGCGTCGACGGCCAGTCTCGTCACGCTCCACAAACCGCTTCTTCTCGGGCTTTCCATCGCTCAGTTTCTTGAATTTTGAGCCAAGTATAGACTCCGGCGGCGGCGGAGGCGCGGCCGCAGCAGCCCGGCTTGCCCTCAATTCCCGCAGGATTTCATCGCGGGTCTTGGGCCTAGCAGGCGGGGGTGCCATAGTCCCCTTCTTCTTTTCTTTCTGAGCCTTAGGCGCAGCAGCAAGCTCCTCGAGTCCCTTCTCTTCCATCAGACGCTCGAATTCCTCGTCTATGTCTTCTTTTTCAAGAGGCGGCGCAGATTTTTCGGCCGCTTGCGACACGTCCTCGCCAGCTCTGATCCTTCTTAACAAATCCATATCCAGTCCTTTGACCATGTGTGTGCTTCCAATGTCACCTCCGACTCCGAGCTCTCGACGCAATTTGTCAAAGGTAGACTGGTCGATTTGTCCCAACTTGACCATATCCTCTAGTGCCTTGATGCGCGCCTCCAGGTCTGTGCTGCTCTCGTCCTCTGTATTGCGCAATTTTGCACGATCCTGATAGCCTGTCGGTAGCGAGGTACCCTTCGGCGCGGCAGAGGACTTGAATCGCTTGGAAGGTCGACTGCCTTCGTGGCGTTGCTCGAAGAGCTGACGGGCGAAGTCCACACCAGTGACTGAACGACTATAGTAATGCCACAGCTGTTAGCTTCCTCAGGAATCATAAAAATCTGGAAATCAAGCGACGTACGGGGTCATAGGAATACTGGACCGCATTCGCGATCCCAGGGACCCACCGGGGGTTGCGCCGCCACGCGATGCATCGCGGCCAGGCACTGGGCTCTGGTTCGTAGGTTTTGACGATGACTGGTCGGCTATTAGCCGGCGAAACTGCTCGTTATTCATGGTTCGTGGGCTCAAGTTGCTTGGGATTGAAGTTAAGAAAGGCTCATGTTAAGAGGTGAAGATCCGGCTTGGCACTGATAAGATAAGACTATCTCCGGCCCGATTGGGACCTCAAATTTGCCCTAAGAAGACTCCAATTCCTGGCTAGGTGAGCAGTTTGACACATTATATGTTACAAATTGAGCCAGGTTGACAGCAAGCATCCATGGTGTATAAATAGTGTGGTCTATACGTATACGTATTCATGCGGGAAACGAGTAAGCCGATAAATATAACCACGAAGATATGTCATCTCACTCATTAAAAGGCCCATGCACAACAGGGATGGATGGTTCTAGCAACTCCAGCATTTCCACCCTAATATGGAATTGAGGTGAAAGACCCAAGATGAACACGCAAGTGTCTACTACTCATTAGAAGGAATATACTGTGTGAACAAAATCCAGTAACAGCCTTGGGGGAACCAGTAATAGTACATTCACAAATCCAACCTGTGTGAGTTGGACGTAGCCTGGTATTAAGTGAGCCCATGGATGAAAAGTATGTTCGATATACAGTGAGAAAGAGACGAAAAAATGCGTAGTATAAATGCATGGCAACGAAATGAAACGAAAAAGTGGCTAAACACAGAATCGCGACCGTGTCCATTTCGCCATCAAAATTTCAAAAGGTAAGGAATGGATCTAAGCGTATGCACATCAACAATCGCAAAAAGAACCCCCATTTTTGTGTTCATTAGATAGTCTCCCAGCCTCCGTTGTTGATCTCCGACTCCAGCTTCCGGCTAATAGTCGCAGGGATTGAATGCGACAGCCAGACATCGCGCAGTAACCGGTCGTACCGCTTCTGGTTGAGGATAAGCTGGCGGTTGCGGCGGAGACCGGGGTCGACTTCACCGTGGCGGT